TAAACTATAGTTAACAACCGTTAAATATAGTTTTACAGATGAAAACTATACTTTACGAATCGTTAACTATAGTTTACGGTTTGTAAACTATAGTTTACAGTCGATAAACCTAGTTTATCAATTGTGAAACTAGGTTAAGCTCATTTTTGTGAATTTGTGCTGATATTAAAACAATTCATCAAATACCACTTAACTGTTCTTTGTATTAAAAACGATTTTATGGCCAAATTGCCATTAATATTAAACAAAATGAGTGCAAAATGTAGGCAGGAATCGAGAGTTATCGAGCATATTTCTTCCTTCACTTTGAAATTAGTTTTTTTAAGAAAAAAGGCTGAAGCCCATATACATATTACAAACAAAAGCTGAACATTATATGAAATATAGAAAATAGCATACGTTTAGTTTCTTATGACTAATTAGTTCACCCATTTATTTAAGGCATGTTTGAAATTTATCAAAGCATTAACAGGCACGTAGCAACAGGCAACAGGGAGGGGGGGCAGGGGGGGCCACCCCCCCTCCACTTTTTCCCCCAACATTACCTTTACTATAGAAAATGTCCGTTGAAAAGATGGTTGCCCCCCTCCCCCCCCCCCCCAAATTTTTACCACAGTATATCCATAGCAAGGATATATGGGAAAAAAATGGAAGTTAAGGCCATAATAAAAATATTCCTAGATTCTCATCCCCACCCGCCCCGATTTTATACCTCCGCCTCGATTTCTTTTATTTCTGTTTTTCTTCGTCTTAATTCTGATCAGGATCAGTATTTAATCATCTACCATTCTACTTTCTTTTTAAATCCCGCGAAAGTTGACATGATTTTGACAGCTGAAAAGATGGTAACTGCTGTAATACATGCCTATATATTTTAAACAAGGGTCATTCGTCGAAAAAGATTGATGATGATGTGAAGTAAGAGATAACTAAACCTTTACAGTGACTTTTATTCGGGTATTGTAGATAAAATTACACCATGTGACCAGGTCAATAAAAAATCTGCAAAATTGAAAATAAAAAATATAAAATAAAAGCCACCCGCCCGCCTCGATTTTTTATAAAATTCGGATGAGAATCTAGCAATTTATTTATTATGGCCTAAAGGAAGTTGGTCTAAATTGAAAAAAAAGTTGGCCACTACCACCCCCCCCCCTCCCCACGAAATAGGATTTTCGAGTTTGGGCAAGAAAAAAAATGCGTTTTTTTTTTGCTTGTCATCTTTTTTTTAGGTAAATTAAAAAAAAATTTTCTCAGGTTGCCCCCCCCCCCCACTTTCAGAAACGATGCTACGTGCCTGATTAAAAAACTAAATTCGACCTACTTCCTAGTGTATACGTACAGTCAAGTAGCGACACAGGTACCTGCAGTATGGATAATACCCCCCCCCCCTTTTTTTGAATGAAAAAAATGTAAGAATGTATAATACCTCGAAAATATAAAATTTCCCCGTCAAACATATCTATATGCCGTTATATGCAAACAGATTGTACTTTTTCTCACGTTTAAAGAATGGCCCCATTCGGTATAATAAAAAATTTTATTATACCGAATGGGGCCATTCTTTTCGAGATATTATACATTCTTACATTTTTTTTCATTCAAAAAAGGGGGGTATTATCCATACTTCAGGTGCCTGTGGTAGCGACAACGGACCGATGACAACGGACTAAATTTTCGTATCTTGTCATGACAACGGACATAAATTATAATAAATCAAATATTTCAGTTTTTATTTGTTTTATTTTTTCCCGTAAAGGCTTATAACATGTCCTGATACTGACTGCATCAATTGGTACATATATGATATTCTATTTACAAAAAATATAACATCTCAGAAGGAAAATGAATGAAATCAAGTTTTGATTTCACCAGGTTTTAATATCGCCAACGCAAACTCCTCTTTTATTACTTCATTTTAACGGCTGAAATTCATACAACACCAAAAGGGGTGTCAGTCCTATTCCCCATTGCAATTTCAGACATTGGTTGAATTATTTAACTTAAAAAATGAAAAACTGCTTACGACCTGTCTTCTAAAGTAATGACACCGGACAGTTTTTGTCATAACCTTACCTGTATTTTCATGACAACGAGCCATTTTTAGTGCTTAACTTTAAATGTTTCTGACAACGGTACTGTCTTGGAACTTAACGTGTTCCTGGCCGTGAAAGCGGGACGGATGGACATGACAAACTATTTATGCCCGGACAATGACGGGACATAAAAATTGGTTTGGATAACAAACTAATATAACAATGTATATAATTAACCAACCACCCACCCCCGTTGTGTTTTATTATTAGTATTTTATTTTGTTACATTAGTTTCTGTTTAACCCTTACCTTCACATCTTTACATTTTACAGGAGTTTATTTGCTGGTGTGTGTGATTGTAAAAAAAGGGGGATGGGTGTGAGAGTGGTTTTCCGTCCCTCAATTAAAAAAAATTATAATTAAGTTGGGTAAATTTTCTTGGGTTCTAGTGCATTCTGAAAACCATTTTTCAGCTCTTAAATGAGCAAGATCTAGCGGGCTCTTTCATTTAACGAATTAATTTTGTTTTTATAAATATATGTTTTAAACGTAATTCAAGTTTTGACGAAAGGAATGTAATGTGTACCCCATTCATTATTTCAAGAGTCATTTTCGAAAGCCTTTTTCTAAATAAAAAAAATATTAAACTCAACTTATTTGGAAATGATTTCAAAATACTCTACCACTATGCAAGTTTGATATAGGCATAACATTGTTAATAATAAATAACGTACACAATTTACAAAAAGAATTTATTCATCATTAATAACAGTTTTATTTGATTTATGGAGTTTGTGAATATTAGAATTATCTTCCTTTGGTTGATAATTCATAGCAATTTTAGTTGCTCGATGATATGCTGATATATAAGTGCAAAAAGATAAAATTCAGCAAAGAAAGCGGCTAAAATCAGGGAATGATGTTAAATTTTATGTTTACATTAATTGTATTTTCTGGATAAAACTAAGAAAAAAATTAAGAAACGTACCTATATTTGCTTACTGATTTATGGTACATGTAGATTTTATAATTAAGTCATTCTTAGGTTCTAATAGGTGTTGGTTGTTGACAGGGAAATGGGGGGGGGGGGGGGGGGGAGAAACAGAATTATTAGAATAAAGAAGAAAAGAATTAATCTGTTTTAATTGTTTCTAATCAAAACAAAATACCCGTTTTTCGCAAAATAGTTTTATATTCAGATATTTGTCAGTGCTTACCTACCTTTTTAATGCAGAAAGGTCAATATCTATGACACAATAGTATGAAAATAAAAGAAAACGTCATATTTCTCGTTTATTTTATCATAAAGGTATACTTTTTTCTTTGTTAAAATAAAGAGATGAATAATTTCTTTCAAAAAATATGAATTACAACATTTTCACACAAAGACTTTTTAAGATATTACCTGTTATGCATATCGGAATTGTAAAAAATACGACAAGAAATCAGGCGCGTAGCCAGACGTACGTTTGTACGCACAAACGTCCACATCATTTTACAAAAAAAAAAAAAAAAGACACTTATGCCCCCCTCCCCCCAAATTGGAATTTTTTTATGTTCAAATGGGCATAACTCTGTCAAAAAGGCACTGCAATTATATCCAAAACAGAACTTGACCTAGATATTTTTTTCTGATAAATCTGTATGCTAAATTTCACTTCAGTATGTGCAACCTCTGCAAAAATATGAACAGAAACTACAAATAATTGGAATTTGTGAAGTCCAAGGGCAGGCGCGTAGCCAGGCGTACGTTTGTACGCACAAACGTCCACATCATTTTTCAAAAAAAAAAAAAGATAGAAAGAAAAGAAAGAAAGAAGAGAGCGAGACAGGAGTAATACTGTAAAGCGTTCTCATCATTCAATTTAAAAAAAAAATACTTAGAAACGATTTAGAATTAACGATAAAAAAATAAATGAAAATCAACAGAATCAGTGTTAGGGGAAAATACGAGAGTATACACCTCACTGAAATCAAAGGATTTCCCCGGATTTTGGTTAACTATCGAATATTGCTGAGTTTTTTTTAATTTCAAGTGTAATTGCATTCTTAAAGAGTTTCTCTATTGTAGATTTAACACTATAGAACCCCAGTCGGCTCTCTTAAAACAAACGATAATTTTATTTAATGCCAAGAATTTCAATTTCTATTGCTGGAAACTAACTTCAAACCGTAATGCTTAATTTCTGTAACGATATACCTCCCCCTTCCAAAAAAAAAAACTTAATATTGGATTAGTGCGAGACTTCAAAAATCATAATTCAGCTTTATATATGAACATCAAAAATCGAAAATTGGTAAAATTCAATTTAACCTTATGAAAAATAATATGTCCTCTCAAGTATCGAAATCCGTAACACTACCTTAAAACCATTAGTATATATACAGATACAAGTTTTTTAAATTGTTGCAAAAAGCTAAAGATACCAGATTTGTGAATATTTACATGTATAAACATTCAATTTAAATGTACATAAATAATGTGCAAGAAAACGAGTTGAAAAGAATTGTTCTGTCTTTCTTATTTTTAATCTTGAGAGGTGTATTTTCAATATTAATGTAAGCCTGACTATCAGTCAATTACCTGGTCTGTCTAAACCAGTCAACCACTTTAACCAACTGCCGTATGTTAACCATGCGGATTTTGTCGAGCTTCAAAAGTCTAAAATTGTTTTAGTTGGTTTCGTCAAACAAAGCTATTGGACATATCCTTTCTCTTTATTTAGTAACTGTCCGCATTTTTTACAAGGAAAGAACAGGCCTCAAATGTGGCTGCGTTATAAACTGAACAAGAGATGTTTGTAAAACACTTATCCCCCCCTCCCCCCAAATTGGAATTTTTTTATGTTCTGCCATAATTACATGTACGAAAAATTCTAAACGCGAGTTGACAAATTTTGGATCTGGGAAAAGGTAATTGATTGGTCAATGAACATATTTCTCCATCCAATCAAATATTTTGTTACCGTAGGAGTCAACTGTGGATCGCTTCCGGTTTCATTTTATACCGAAAACTCCCTGATTATTTTGTGATTTCCTTATTTATTTAACGAAAAATGACAAGTTTTATTTGGGATGTTAAAAACGGACAAATAAACGATGTTCAGAAATTTGTAGAAGAGAAGGTAACAATAAAAAATGAAGTTATGCATAACTTGAAAGTGAGCATGTGCAATATTGAAAGTGCATAGTTTGACAATATCGACATGCACCTCGTGTCCTGCACTAGCATTACATGATTGTATACTTGTAAAAGAAATACCTGTTTATAGTAAAAAAAAAATTTTTCCTAATAAAGGTTGTAAAACTATGAATTGTAGATTTGTAAAGAAAGGGGTGGGGCAGTTTGGGTATCTGAATACCTGTACATGTTGCTTAGTGCAATCACAGGGGCTTTCTCCAGGAGAGTAAGCCATTAAATTTGACATTCTTTATTTAAAAAAAACAATATTCCAACTACTAGCCTGCAAAACACAAGAGAGAAGCCCTTAGGAAATTGGATCCCTTCCTTGATTTGTTTTCATTTATTTCCCCATATTCCACTTGAACATCAGGTTGATTAATCTAACTCTGTCTCAGAACAGTCTTTTCAGATCTGTAGGACAAAATTATGTCAGTAAAAGAACATTCTATCTACTAACTCACCATTTTCGATTTTTTAAGCAATGATTTTCCTAAGACAGAGTACTTGAATATATCCCTGTTTAGCTGGTACTGGTAGCTGAATAACTGTCACTATTTTGACATAGAATGTCATCTTTAAAAATTCACATTCTGTGTGTCCATATTGAGGTTGTGGTAATATAATCCATAGCATGTTTGTGGCTGCCTGACTGATTTCTTTCATAATGATATTAACTGTGAATGATCTCTTTTAGGGTACTGATATAGTAAACCAAGAGGTGGAGGGCAGGTACCCTCTACACTTTGCTGCAGACTATGGACAGTCACAAGTTATTGAGTACCTTGTCAGCAAAGGAGCCAATATCAATGTGGGTATATTTTATCTCTATTATGTTTTATTTGTTAACATACAAGGCCAAAAAAAATAATAGTCTTGTTTCCTGCTACCAGCCTGAAAAAAATAGGGTAGGTAGGTAGGAAATTATTTTATGTTTTAAAATTATTTTATTTTTTCCAGTGGTATTTTTTGGATATGAACTAATACATAACCAAATAAAATATGTCATATAGGTCAACATTATATTTTAAAATTAGATATTAACACATCTTTACATACAGTTTCATGAAATACCACCTGCTTTAATATATTTTTTCTTTTTGAAAATGAAATTCCTGAAATTCCCAATTTTTTTCCCCCAAAACTTAAAAAAAAACTTTAGGGTCGGGTGCAAAAAAATAGGGTAGGTCGGGTAGCAGGAAACAAGACTATTTTTTGTTTTGGCCCAATTATCACAAAGCTTTTCTTGCCCTTTCCAGTCATAGACAACAAGGTTACGACTCTATGTTAAAATGTTCATGAAAGGATGGTACAAATTCAAGAATTTGTCGAATTATCAGCAAAAAAAAAATCCTTCAGTCATACCACTGTCTATGATTTTTACAAATTCCTGTACCAATGTTTCATCTGAAATTTTAAAACACACAAGATATAGAAATTTAGAGCTAAGACACAGAGACCCTTAAAAAGGTTTACAATAGTCTTCATAAAATTGTATGACTAATATTTTTAAACATATTGCAGTGTACATACAACTCAATAATCTCTTTATATTCCACAGCAAAAGGACAAACACAACATAACTCCATTGCTGGCAGCAGTATGGGAGGGTCATGTGTCCAGTGTAGAAACATTACTTAAACTAGTAAGTGCCCTCAAATTTAGAGATATTAGTGATAAAATACACAAATATATAACAAGTTGTTTCTAGCTCACCTGAGCCAAAGGCTCAAGAGAGGTGAGTGAAGCTTTTCTGTCGTCTATTATTGTTGTTGCTGTCCTCGTTGTTGTTAACTTTTAACATTTTCGTTTTCTCCAAAACCACTAATTGGGCCAATTTCAAGCAAACTTGGCACATGTCTCTGAAACAGTCAAAGGTTGAAGTCACTTTTAAATTGCTTCATATTTCTCAAATAAACATTTGTCCTTAAAGCAAGGGAGATAAATTCCCTGAAATTTTTACCATCCAAACTTTTCTTCAAGTCTTGTTGATTTTACAGGGTGCTGATAAAACGGTGACATCGCCAGATGGACAGTCTTTAATAGAATGTGCAGAAAAAGAGGATGTGAAAGCCCTACTGAAGTAACCAGCCACTAAAACATAGACCTCATTGTGTAGCTGCAGAAGGATGTCTTACATTGGATGTCATGGAACAAACTAACTACAACATTTTTTAGAGTTTTTTTTACATTATATGTAAACTTATTTTACAGCATACATTTATATATACATGTAATTATAATTAATGAATTTCAGATTATATATCAAGATGGACTTTCTTTGAAGGCTCTTTTTTTTTAACTGAAAACTAATGTGGTTAACTTTAAATACTGATTTATATACCAACTTCATTATAGAATGGTTTTTCTGACTTTGGAATTGCTTGTGTGCTTTTTTCTAAAAAATGATAATGTGCACACAAATATTGATGCTTTTGAATATTTCCCGCTTTCAAGGTCCTTAATATTTATCAGATTTAGAAACAACTGTAAACTAAAGCTGCTCAACATGTCAAGATCTAGACTATTTTCCCTGTCTCTGAAATTTATTATGTATTGATATTGAAATGCAGTATTATATTTAGCAAACATAATAATATATATATATCTAATGTTCTGGAAACTTTATTATTTTTAAAATACATATTTTTTCAGTTTTGTTTAAAAAAACAGCATGCAATATTTCTGCAGTCATGAAAGCTAGGTGCTATATGCATGAATATAGTGGTATAAAAAGTCCCAAACTGGACAATTGTGTTATTGTGTATCTTTTCTTTTCTGTCTTTTGTATCAATTAAATTTATTGAGAAATGAAGGTACTCGAGTGCAATAGAAATTGGAAAAGTGATTCTTCTTCATGTGGTGCCATTAAAGTATCCAACTTGAGTGACATATCATTTTAATTAACGTTTATAATATTTGTTTATATGAAGTTAAAACTTCTCAATATTTGATCTTGTGTTTTAAATCAAATTCACATATGTACATTTATATTTAAAAAAAATATTATTTAACCATTTAAAAGAAATGAAATCAATGAAAAAATACTATAGTAAATGAAAAGCATACATCACAAAACTGAATGTGTCCTTGAAAGATGAAAGAGTTGAAAAAAGATGATGGTGCACTTATTCTTTTTTATATTTCGCTTGGTGCACCATGTAGTATTGTAGTACTTGTGTAAAACTTTGTATTAGATCACAAAGAGATTTTCACATGTATTGGCACACTTTTTGAAGGCATGTTCTTGATGAATGTGTGTTTAATCACTTGCATGCTAATAAAAAAGATAAAAACTAAACACTTCATTTTATCTGTAGATTTCTTTACAAGGGAATTATATACATGTAGTCATGAATGTGTAATAAATTGTCATTGCGACTTGTCTTTAGAAGCTGACAATACTTTACGGAAGCCCGTTGGTGCCACGTATGAAAAATATTTTATCTGGCGGCCGCCACTTATTAATTGGCGGCCGCCACATATATATCTGGCGGCCGTTACTTATTATTTGGCGACCGCCACATATATATCTGGCGGTCGCCACTTATGTATCTGGCGGCCACCACTTAATATCTGGCGGCCGCCACTTATATATCTGGCGGCCGCCAAATAATTTATATGGCGGCCGCCACATAAATTATTTTGCAAAAGGTGAGTGTTATTGGGTGTTGACACAACCGCTGCTTATTGATAAAAAAAAGTTAACAAATTCTGAAATATTGGAACACCATTCTTGGAAATCCAAAATGCAAAACTTCATTTAATTCTCAACCAATCATAGCTTACAGCAAAAACCATGATTTATATCCGTGACCCCTGATGAGGCTTCTTAATAATCGAAACACAGTACAAATACTTGCATAATTCAAATCAAATATTAATCTGCTCTATGCAAAAACATATCTATTAGAAGTGTGGATTGGAGTGTTGGTTCATAATAAATCTCTTACAAGTTTGGTTGATTGATGTTGCTATTATAATTTTTACACTGTATCCACCTCTTAAACCACACATTAAAACATGCGCGCGATTCAGGAAGCCAGGTGTTATCTGGCGGCCGCCAAATATTATGTAGCGGCCGCCAGATATATAAGTGGCGGCCGCCAGATAAATATTTGGCGGTCACCAATTAAATAAGTGGCGGCCACCAGATAAAACATGTGGCGGCCGCCAAATAATAAGTGGCGACCGCCAGATGTTATATAGCGGCCGCCAGATATTATATAGCGGCCGCCAGAAAAATATGTGGCGGCCGCCAGATATTATATAGCGGCCGCCAGAAAAATATGTGGCGGCCGCCATAAAAACTATGTGGCGGCCACCATAAAAATTATGTGGCGAACGCCATATATTAAGTGGCGGCCGCCAGATATATAAGTGGCGCCCGCCAAATAATAAGTGGCGATCGCCACATAATTATGTGGCGGCCGCCAGATATACAAGTGGCGGCCGCCAAATAATAAGTGGCGGCCGCCAGATAAAATATTTTTCGTATGTGGCACCAACGGGCTTCCGTAATACTTGGTTGTTTAAAAAGGAAACAAAAAAAATTTTAACAGTTGAGATCAAATCTACACGAAGAGCAACGCAACCTTAAACTAAAATATATACTAGGCATGCTCATTTAGAGCTTTACTGCATGTTTGCATACTGGATTGCGATGTAGCCGTATATGTATTGCATCTCTGTGTAAGCACTGTGACAAAAGCTTGCTCAATGATCATGTCAACTTTATTCTGTTCATTCTGTGCAGTTATATATCTCCTTCTACATACAAATATATATTCCTTTTGAGCGAAAAATTGTACTTTTTCACCCATAGTTAGATATTGGTCATGCAGCTTAATCTGCGTTACTGAGATAAACATGATTCACTCTACTTTGACCTCCGACTCTCGAGTTGTTAGCTTTCGCAAGCCCCGTTTGCAGACTCAAAGTTTAGTACATCTTTCCCAGGCCAGACTACTGTATAAATTTTTACTTTCATTGGCTCGTATTTTAATTTGTGGGAAGGGGACAAGAGATACTTTGTGTTTTAAGAAAAATAAAATCATGATTGGAAATTTTCATATTTCATCTGGGGACACTTCTTTGCTGGTCAAGGGTGTCCGATCTGAAATCTAAGTTGTAGGGTAGATTTCGGAATGGAAACCCTTTTTACCAGCAAAGATGGGAGAACATAGCTTTTTTAATGCCATGAAAGGGACAAATTGAAACAATTTGAAAATTAGTTTGAGCCTCAAGATATATCAAAAGAAGATGGCTCAGTGGTTTTTGCCATATTTATGCTCATGATAAATCTGATAGTTTGAGAAACATACATAACATTGAGTGATCAACATACATAAAATACAAAGGGATAGTATTTACCATAATTTATTAAAGATGACTAATTAAAAATATAATTATACAAATTAATTCTTATACAGTATAAGAAAATATATTACAAAGTGACACATTACATGTGTATAATACATTTGTACTATTTTAATCACAATTTTTTTAAGGCAATTTGCTCATATAACAAAACAATGAATAACAAATAATTTGTAGGTGAAAATTTGACTTGCATATATATACTGTATACGGGGAAATTTTCACCCCCATTTAATTTTCGCCCCTTTCGCCCTTGCCTGACGTGGGGAATATAAAACAGGGCTAATTCAAAGTAAACTGTATAATACATGTATCTTAAACAAAAATCTTTTGGGTGAATTTAAAACGGGGCAAACTTGTATTCAGATGTGAAAGGGCGAAAATATCACGGGGCGAAAATAACCCTGTATACAGTAGTAACTATTCATTGCCTAACATTATGTAAACAATTAAGAAAAACATTTCTAAAAAAAATTAATCATAGATGCAAATCCCATCTGTGCCTTTTAGCAACAATATCTCTATCATGATCATGAGAAAAAAGAATACTGGACATCACTGATTAAAATATATTTGATATACAACATGTTCGAAAGAGTCCATGTTTTTGACATAATCACAACCAATCCAAGCAGTTCTTTTCAATTCATATACAGTATGTTATCATGCAGAATCAATTCTGGGAAACTAAAAAGCAAACAATCATTCAGGAGCCCTTAACATATGTATAAATTCGACCTTAACTCAAGTAACTTGCTTGAGTTTAAAATACAATGTTCCTTTAAAACTTGTACATGTACCTAGTAACTGTTTGTAAATAATTGTTCTTGTACCACATAAAAGTAACATGATCCCAGTATCAATAACCTTGACATTTTGACAATGACATTAAATAGATTCAATGACCCCAAATTAACATATATTCATGTCATCATGTAAATTGGTAAAGAATGACTACATAAAAGAATACCTATATAAAGTACATACAGTCAATCCTCATTATCTCAAATGTAGTATGGGATCAATTAAAATAAACCTTTAGAGATATCAAAGGGTTCAAGATATTGAGGGTAAAGTACTTCAAGAAAAAATGCTTAGGGCTTTCAAATCACTTTGATTGACATATCAGATCCATGATATTAGAGATATCCATGTTCAAGATACTTAAGTTCAACTGTATGTCTGAGAAAGTATAGAAGTCATATCACACGTTAAGACATTACACAAGTTCCTTAATTAATATAACACATCACATAAAAGTAGCAGCTGAAAAAATATTTTCTAACAAATTAGCATAACATTTTTATCCCAAAGCAAAACCACATATGCAATAGAAATCTTTAAATACTTTTGCACATTTCAAATCAATATTGGGGAGGGGTAAAGGAAAAAAAATGGAAGGGAGTGAAAGATTGGGTGGGAGATAAAATATGTGATCTGAAGAAAAGTAATGTTTTATTTCTGGAAGACTAGATAAATCAGACAAAGTGTATGACACATATATACACAAGCATGTATAAAAACTGACTATAACAGCATACACAAATATACCAAAATATATCACAACTACTGCTAAAATTATACAATTACAGTAAAACAAGCTTATAGCAAACACACTTCTATTGCATTGTCTCTCACAGCAAACTGATTTTCATTCCTCATACAACTTTACAATATACTAGTTTTGTAAACTAGTGGAAATGATTAATTACTAGTATGCTTATAGCAAAACAAAATCATCCATCTCTGGCACTCTTTTATAAGCATGTTTTACTGTAATAACATGTGTTGCCCTAGCACACCTGTAGCTAGCCTACTTTACCCAAACCAATTCTAGGCATAAGAGAGGTATAACTTTTTGTTTTGTCATGGACATTCTCCAATGCTGCATTTTCCTCAGTGCTCTAATGTTGTATGTTCACACTTATAGGCACACATATGGTTCAGTGCATGTTTTTAATATTGTGGTTCTCCAACAGTAAACCCTGCTTCTTCAAAAGACACCTTCAGTTTGGAATAGACTTCTGGATCTTCTAGAGTGGCTGGTACCTACAACAGATACACAAAATATAGCTCCTGACCAGTATGTAATACAGTAAAACATGGTTATAGTGAACACCCTTATAATGAATTCACACTTAAATTATGATTTTAATCCTATTGCTCGTGCTACAATATTATGAATTACACTTATAATGAATTGAAATTGCATTTCCCTGCCACTTGGCTGAAAAGGCTGTTTTACTGTCTTGTTTATTGTCTATTTATATAATGTATTTTGTAAATCTTTTAAACTGACAAAAAATATAAGGAAGTATTACTTTAAAAGTGTAGTTTTTTTTAAATATATCATATAGATCAACTTATAATGATATATAGGATATAAGTTTTGGTATTAATGCTTTTAGAGAATTTAGTTGTTTATTTTCTCCCCTGCAACTCATCAGAAAAAAATTAGCTACTGGTACATTTATAATAAACAGTTACTGTACATGAAGTAAGCAAAATAGGATAGCCTGAGTAAAAGTGCAAAAACAAATTAAAAACCAAACAAAATACAGTACGTAATGAAGATACTACTTAACCACACATACATACATCCTGGGACCTATATACATGTATTTAGTACACAGGTCCCTGATTTAACCGAGAAAAATTATTTATACAATTTAAAATTTTTTTAAAACATGTAATGACTGCATTCCTTTATGCATTTCAAGGTCATAAAAAAGTTTTTCTTTTCTCTAAAAATTTATTTTCCATTCAGTCATGTTATACATGTACTCAAAGATAATTAAACATGCAAAGCTGTCACAAAGAATGATATTAAGTAAAAATATATCAATATATTCACTCATGCAATGTATAAGCATGCGAGTGTTAGTGAGGAAAATAATATGGAATGAAAAATTATTGTTTTAATCTGAAAAGAATAATAAATAAAATCAGTACACTGCAAGCAACCCACAAAATATACATACATGTACTCTGTTGAATGGTATTCATTTAAAACCAAACAAAATTTATCATGATCTTTTTTTGCCGAATATTTTAGAAAAATGTTAAACCATTCACAAAGTCAGTTAATTTTTTTCAATAACACACAGATCAAGTTAATGCTACAAAAAGGCAGTGTTAATATAATGCTGCTTTATTACTCTTTGGCATAGCCAATCTGTTGTAGAGCGTCCCGGATGTACGGATACACAGAGGCATCCTCAATAGTCACTGGAATCTACAAAGGGTGCAAAAACATATCTCATCAAACCTGAGATTTCTTTTTATAAAATAATGTAGCAGTCAAACTTAGAAACACTTTTCATAAATAGCTTTCCTAGATTTTGGCTTCTTAGATTTTATTAGCTCACCACTTGTTAAATACCTACCCAACCTTGTACTACAAGTAGGTACTGTAAATCACTTTTTATTCGCGAGAACTTTATTTTTGCATAATTATGCGTGACAGTGTGCTCGAGAAAATTTAATTCTCGTGTATAATAGCATTTCTTAAGATTATAAAGAGCAAGAACCACAATTCGTGAAAATTTTGTCTCGCTAATTAAGAGTCAATGACTATCTCGCGAAAATAAGGTGTCGTGAAAATTTAGTGATCTACAGTAATCAATTTTTTAAAGAGTTTATCTATCATAACTGCATGCACAACATATAAAAGAAACAAAGTCCATGGGCCTTGATGGTCACTTGAGTATCATCAGTTGTATCAAAATAAGGATAAAAGGTATTTATTCAAATACCACATATTAGTTGCTTACTTTGAATGGCTGACCAGCTGCCATGAGAGCTATGGTGCTACGAGCTATCTTCCCAGCTCGAGTCTTTGGTAGCTTTGGGACAATAACCGCGAGTTTGAAGGCGGCCACTGGTCCTATGCTGCTTCTCACTACATCTCGGACATGATCTATAACTTCATCTGCTGACTTCTGCACTCCTGTTTAAATCAAGGAAAATTGTAAAATAAAAATATTTCTATCAGAATTTCCAATTATTCAAAAATAAAGATCAGAATATTTCTTCACCAATTCGTTACTATTTCTAAATAAGCTTTGATGTTCAGAACACTGTGTATGAACCATATTACCTGTCTTTTGAGGATGTCTTTAAGTCACTGTATACTTATCATGTTTTAGTACAAAGTCCCATTGGTACCTGTATTTTGGTCACTAAGTACTTATCATGTTTTAGTACTTTGTACTTACATGTTTAGGTATTTAGTATACTTACCACATTTTAGTATGTACAGTCCTAGTGGTACCTGTCCTTTGAGTGTATATTAGTCATTGTGTACTTACCATGTTTTAGTACTGTGTATACTTACCATGTTTTAGTACACACAGTCCCAGCGGTATTTGACCTTTGAGTGTGTCAGGTATTCCCACCACTGCCACCTCAGCTATATCCTCACTCGTCATGATTGCCTACAAATACATGTAGATATAGAAAAAAAAAATTGTATTGCTTTCATTATTAAGGAACAGTAGTACCTTGACATTTAATATGCATTAATTGATCAGGCTAAACTAAATAGAGTGTGCGCTTTCAATGCTCTATGACAACATTTTACACTTCTAGTACATGTACAAAAATCGAACATTTATAAAAATGTGCATCTTGACTTTTTTCAGCCTAAAAAATTCTTTTGGCAGCCATTCTTCTCTTTATTCAAATGGACATTATTTCCAGTATAAAAGTGGCTACCTCTTCTATTGCACCCGTCGAGAGTCTGTGGCCCGCCACGTTGATGACATCATCACTTCTGGCCATGACATAAACATAGCCCTCTCCATCCTTGTAGCCTGCATCCATGGTGTCATAGTAACCCTGTAATGGCAGAAGACAACTGTAGAATAAAAATCATGATAAAACTTGTTCAATGAGTACCCAACTTGTAATGATTATAAACTAGTCGTATAGAACAAAAATGATGAAAAAACATACTCAGTGAGTACCTAACTTGTTGTGATCTATTCCATAAGCAAAATTTCACTTACAATTTATTAAAAATAAACCTGATATCTGTAATACATGTACTTATAATGTTGAAAATCTTGATCTTATTTTTCTCTTAAAACTAAGATACTTTATTTTTATGTAATTTCTGCATACACAATCTACAATCTGATTTACAAATCAACTGGATAAACAGAAAATGGAAAACATACTGGTTTGCTTTCAAAGTAAGTCTTTTTGAATCGCTCCTCATTTTTCCACAGGGTACTAAATGCTCCAGGTGGTAAAGGCAACCTAAGGAAAGAAAATTTGACATTTCACTCAACAATACTATCACCATGTCCATACCTCTATGTTCACTCTTTCTTCAAATAAAATAAGTCTATTTACATCTTAAATATTTATACATGGTACATATTACATTAGATTGTATGTATAATTGACTGTATCTACACAAGACCTACTTGACAACAATGTCTCCCAGCTCACCAGTGGAAGCCTGTGAGAAATCCTTCCTTAAAACCTGAACTATAAAGAAACTGGATTGTAAGCAATTAAAAAAAAACAAACAAACAAAAACTTAGTTTTTCAGTAAACAATGACTCATTAAATGCTCATTAAAACTATTAATTTGTCCTATGTATATTAATTTTTTACCATTCCAGCCCGGTACCGATTTCCCAGCAGCCCCTGAGGGTGGGGACAAGGACATATTTAACCCTGCACATGTCGCACTGATGGCCCACCCCGTCTCTGTAAATAAATAAAGGTATCACACACCCACAACTCATTCACATCAGTACAGGTGTATGTACATGTATTTGGTTACAAAATGCTCAATTACATGGAATTATCAAATTTATCTATTACTGTGATATTTGTCTAATTCATAATGATTTTATAAACTTGTAGAAATATTTAGTATTCATGTATAGACATGTATCATTTTTAATACTGACCTGTTTGCCACCAGTTGTCCAGTATAGGAGCCTGCAGTACAGAGTGAGCAAACTCCAGAGTCTCCTTGTCACAGTGTTCTCCTGCCACAAACAAACCTCGAAACCTACAGAGATCAAAAATAGATATCTCAAATCTACAGAGATCAAAAATAGATATCTCAAATCTACAGACATCAAAAATTGATATTTCAAATCTAGAGATGTCAAAAAATAGATATCTCAAATCTACAGAGATCAAAATATAGATATCTCAAATCTACAGAGATCAAAAATAGATATCTCAAATCTACAGAGATCAAAAATAGATATCTCAAATCTACAGAGATCAAAAATAGATATCTCAAATCTACAGAGATCAAAAATTGATATTTCAAATCTAGAGATGTCAAAAAATAGATATCTCAAATCTACAGAGATCAAAATATAGATATCTCAAATCTACAGAGATCAAAAATAGATATCTCAAATCTACAGAGATCAAAAACAGATATCTCAAATCTACAGATGTCAAAAAATAGATACTAGTATCTCAAATCTAAAGAGATCAAAAATAGATATCTCAAATCTACAGAGATCAAAAATAGATATCTCAAACCTACAGAGATCAAAAATAGATATCTCAAATCTACAGAGATGAAAAATATATACACTTAAATCTCAAACCTGCAGGGATGAAAAATAGATACATTTAAATCTCAAACCTACAGAGATTAGAAATAGATACACCTTTATCTTAATCTTCAGAGAAAAAAAAAACTAGATACACCTTTATCTCAAATCTACTGACTGAGATAAAAATAAGGAAGAGATAAAAAAAAAAAATCTGACAATACTCAAAACCTACAAAGATCAAAACACAGACGGATACAGTCAAGTAAATCTTTCTATACTCAAACCCTACATGTGTCAAAATACAGAAAGATGCACAGATACTTGTAAATGTGACACAATTCAAAATCTACAGAGGTCAAAATACAGGTCAAAATACAGAGACTGGTTAATCATAAGATATGGCCCCTGTATAAAATTTTACCAGTACAATTCATTTTTATTTTACTTACTTTGGCAGTGGAAGGTACTTCTGAGCAAAAGAGGCATCTGGGTCCTAAAAAATTAAGATCAACAAACGGTTTATTGGTAAAGCAAAGATTTCACTCCCTTATTAGACAACAGTTATATAAATCAGTTAGTACAGTTACTATGAATATACTATGGGATTTATCAATTCACCTCTCTCCTAATGGCTCGGATTGCAGTGGGGGCTACAAACATCCCTGCTACATCATGTTCCTTCAGAATCCGGAAGTAAACCCCAGGGTCAGGGGTACCCACAGGTTTACCCTATAAAAGCATAGTCAAGATTGGTTATGAAACTTTTATAACAGTATTATTCCAAGTTCTTCTTCTAGTATCAACATTATCAACCTATAAATACTTCAAATACTTCCCTAACATTTGATACACACATAAGAAAAGTTTTAAATCTTTATTTTTCATGTCCCCTTTTTTTAAAATTTCTTTTTTTTTTATACATTGACAAGTTCTGATAAATGATTTAAACTAAATTTACCAATTACATATTGTGCAGTATTTTATAGATTTACATTAAATTAAAAGATTTAAAATATCTCAGCAAAAAAGTTCAACATCTGATCTGTTACCTTACCTCATACACAATTGTAGTGTTTCCATTGAGTAAAGGGGCGTAACAAATATAGGAGTGTCCCACAACCCAGCCCAGATCCGAAGCTGACCACCATACCTAAGAAAATCAAAGTCCAAAAAATCACTCTACCATTTCAGTTGCATTTTCTGTTACTTATTATCAGCAATATCTTTACTGCTTAATCAAGTTTATGAACTGACCTCCTTTGGCTTGAGACCATAGATATTCCACATTGACCACTTCAAGACCACGGCATGACCCCCGCTTGGCCGGACCACTGCCTAAAAATATAATGCTACTAGATTAAAAATGGTAAAAAATTCCGAAATTTACCTTGCCATATAATATGACTTGAATGTGAAGGGTCAAGGTCATGAAACACACTCAGATCATAGACAATATTTATGCTAAGTTTTTTTTCATTACAATATATGGCCAGGAAATAATTATACATGTACACGTCAGTCAACTTAAAGTTACCCTGAACTTGCATGAATGATCTTGGTTCAAGATCATTCTACACCCTCACTTTACAATCATTTGCCCAAATGGCATTGATTCATTATCATGACACACCATCAGGTGATGGAAATCAATGAATAAGCTTCAAATGTTTCTTCATTACAAAAAATCTTATTAGAAAATGGACAAGGTGATTCCAAATTTGTTGAGGGAGAAGAAACAATAATCATTAGTACTATAGGCTTCTGTGTTCAATTGTACAGAGTACATGAGAAATAGCTGTTTTGCAGTAAATGGAGACCTTAGGAAGCCCTGTTGTCCCCGATGTGTAGAGGATATATGCCGGGTCCATAGAATCCACAGGCACGCAGTCTACTGGTTTAGACATCCCAACCTCTATCTCCCAATCTAAATCTCGGCCTTTGATAAATGTGCAGAATGGAAACTAAAATGAAAAAGTTTAGAATACAATGTACATGTATTTCCCAGTGGATAATTAAAAATTATATCATCAAATGCCAATTTTTTGTGATCATCATTTGATTCCATGAGTTATGTCCTATGAGACTCCAGATTTCCTACCATTGGTCTGTTGTAAATGATGCAGTTCTTTGGTTTATGGGTGGCCATTTCTAAAGCAGCATCCAGCATGGGCTTGTACAGGACATTTCTGTTTGGCTCTACTCCACAGTTAGCACTGATGACAACCTTTGGCTGAAAAGTGCAAGAAAAAAATTTAATACAAATGCTGAAAAAAAAGAAAGAAAATTGTGGGAGCACTTCCTACATAGTGATACCGTAAATCTGGAAATTCTTACGTCGATTTATTTTTGCGAATTTGGGTCAAAAAGCTATTGATTAATTTTTACGCTTCAAAATTTTGCGAATTGTCACTGGAGCTAAAATTAACAAGAGGCCCACGGGCCTTATAGGTCACCTGAGTATCATGCAACAACTTTCCAGCGATTGTATTTGGTTCGTGTTTTAATCCAAAAGCCATGAAATTCACAAATTTTGAAAGAGGCCCCATTGCTTATCAAAGGGCAGATTTCAATGCATTAATTTATTTTTAGTCAAAGTACCCCCCTGGTACCCCTGACCAAGCGGCCCTGACATTATCTATTTTGAAAGAGGCCCCTTTCTTCATTACAAGTCCAGCATTTTTTTTATGTTTAGGTTTAGTTATGAACATGAGAATAAAAATGTCCCGAATGAGAAGGAAATAATTAAATTTTTTTTTTTGGATAAATCAATTATTAACATTTGTACATTCTTTTTTATGCCATTCTAATAGGCTCCTTACCACTGGACACATAATGCTTACAAACAGGAAAGTAGAACATTGCTTATTTCATCATCTGCCAGTTTGGGCCAGTTATATAAATTTTGTGATATTGGTCAAAATGTATTTTAAAAAATCAATTCTTTAAATGTCTTTCAATATATCTTCATTTTTTTAATATGTGATAGGTGAATGTGTAGGCATTGTTCTAAAATTTACTTGATGCCTAAAATTATATAATTCCTATCATAAAACAGACAGGGAGTATTGGAGAGTAGGGTGAACATTTTTTCAATTAAGTGTAAAATAATTTTTCTGGCTGATACAAATGATACTACATGCCTGTATATATTTGTATATTCTTGCCTTTTAATAGTTGAAATTTTTTTTATTTCTTCAGGTTATTGTTTATTTCTTCCTCAAATAGACTTAACTTCTCCCATAGTTTTATTCATTACATCTGATGCATAAGCAACCCTTTTCTGAAGAATGATGCTTAGACTGTAAGCTATAACAGAGACCTAAACAATGTCGCTGACAATATGCAATAGCTACCACGGGCAGTTTAAAACCTGGGGGAGGAAAATAATTTACAGACAGACACTTTTGAAACTAATACATAATTATCTCACCAGCATGTCATTGTGCAACAAATTCGTCAGCATTTTATTTGTCCTTTGAACGGGTGAAACGTTTTGAATGGCACTCGAATCGATGAATTTTACACTAAACTAACCTATCTTCTCAGATAGATCTAGCATTACCCGCCGTTTCATCTTAAAACTGGAAGTGCGAGTTCGTAAATTTGAAATCTCGATCCCGACTCAATTTTGACATCGGAAAGAAAAAATTGTTTTATTTTTTTCTGAAAATTCAAAACCTTGAGCGGAGGGTTTGTAAAACTGAAAATAAAAAAAATACTGGCCTTAAATATGTAATTAAATCATAAGCATATTAACCAGAAGCAAAGGATAAGATGTTCAAAGAATTCATGCATTTCACTATATAATCATTAGAGCCCCACCCTAAAACAAGAACCCCTGACCCTGGGGCCATAAAATTCACAATTTTGGTAGAGGCACTCTTGCTCATCATAACTATGTACTTAGTTAGTTTATTTAATACCCAGGAGCAGAGAAGAAGATTTTCAAAGAATTCCTGTATTTTCACTATATAATCAATAGAGCCCCGCCCTAACACCAGAACCCCTGACCCCAGGGCCATAAAATTCACAATTTTGGTAGAGGACTCATTGCTGATTACAATCATGCAAACAGTTTGACTGCTTGATGTCCAGGAGTAAAGAAGAAGATTTTTAAAGATTGCATTAATTTCAGTGGTTTTGGCCCCACCCCTCAGGCCCCAGGGGGGCAGGGATCATGAAATTCACAATTTTTGTTCCCCTTCACCCATACCTGCTTTGTGCCAAATATGGTTAAAATTGGTTCAGTGGTTTCAGAGAAGAAGCTGAAAATGTTCAAATGTTAACACACGACGCACGACGGACGACGACGGACAAAAACAGATAGCAATAGGTCACCTGAGTTTACTCAGGTGACCTAAAAATCCCTTAAGATTTTCATATCAGTTTATGTTTCAATTTAGTATGCACAGTTAGAATACCACCAATATACTTGCAACGTGGCAAGAAATTGCAGAATCGCTCCGAAACAATTTTGAAGATAAAAATACAAAAGGATTTGCACTGAAAATAACTTCTAAATTAATTAGAGGTTGTGTATGCCTTTTAACCTAAAATATAATCCAAATAAAGACAAAAATATACATAACTAATTTTCTCAACGTTTGGTTTTTTTCTCACCTAAAATTTACACGCCGTGTTTACATTTGGAACTCTCTAGTAAAAGCACTGAACTCGAGTTATCACCCGTGTTGATACATGCTTGGATTAAATAACTGGTCTCTCTTTCTTGGCAAAATAATTACCAGAAGTCTCTGTCGAGACTGAAGCTCTACTGGTTTGTACTTATAGCAAAGGAAGAGAAAAGTACTTAAGCAGTTGGAAATTGAAACTTTTCAACAGCAATAAATAGAATAATGATCCTTGATTAAGTCTCTTTTGTTCTTAGTGCAGTCCACTTGCATGCCACATTTATATTATAATTAGACTAAAATTGTATTTGGAGTAGCATTTTGAAAGAATTTCACAGAAATTTCTATTTTTAGTAACCACGGCAACACCGTTCATCGAAATCAAAAACTGATAAACATAATTGTGTATCTTAGTGTAGTCTACTTGTGTGCCAAGTTATTTTGAAATCAGACTAAAAGTGTAGGAGGAGTAGCATTTTGAAAGAATTTCACAGAAATTTCTATTTTTAGTAACCACGGCAACACCGTTCATCGAAATCAAAAACCAATATATAGAATTATGTATCTTAGTGAAGTCTACTTGTGTGCCAAATTATATTGAAATCAGACTAAAACTGTTGAAGGAGTAGCATTTTGAAAGAATTTCACAGAAATTTCTATTTTTAGTAACCACGGAACACCGTTCATCGAAATCAAAAACCGATAAACAGAATTGTGTATCTTAGTGTAGTCTACTTGTGTGCCAAGTTATATTGAAATCCGACCAAAACTGTAGTAGGGGTAGCATTTTGAAAGAATTTCACAGAAATTTCTATTTTTAGTAACCACGGCAACACCGTTCATCGAAATCAAAAACCGATACACAGAATTATGTATCTTAGTGTAGTCTACTTGTGTGCCAAGGTATATTGAAATCAGACTAAAACTGTAGGAGGAGTAGCATTTTGAAAGAATTTCACAGAAATTTCTATTTTTAGTAACCACGGCAACACCGTTCATCGAAATCAAAAACCGATATACAGAATTATGTATCTTAGTGTAGTCTACTTATGTGCCAAGTTATATTGAAATCCGACCAAAACTGTAGGAGGAGTAGCATTTTGAAAAATTGTTTACAGACAGACGGACAGACAGACAGACAGACGGACGGACGACGGACGCATTACTATCGCATAAGCTCTTCTGGTCTCTGACCAGTAGAGCTAAAAAAAGGACTAACATAAAGTGCATTGCAATTTCGAAAAATCAGATGTAAATATGCCTTTCCTTTTGTCGCGAAAAGTGGCGAAAAATATTTTCGGTCCAGTGGGAGCCCTGATTTTAGGCAGCCTGTACATACATTTTAAATTCCATTTCAGTTTGTGCAATCTCCCAACCTATGTGACAAAACCAGAAGTCTCTATCGAGACTGTAGCTCTACTGGTTTATACTTAAAACAAAGGAAGAGAAAAGTAGCAGTAGCCACTTGAAACTTTAAAACAGCAATTAATAGAAAATGGTCCACTTATCAAAATAAAAACCAATGCACAGAATTATGTATCTTAGTATAGTCTGCTTGTGTGCCAAGTTATATTGAAATCAGACCAAAACTGTAGGAGAAGTAGCATTTTGAAAGAATTTCACAGAAATTTCTATTTTTAGTAACCATGGCAACACCTTTCATCGAAATCAAACAACCGATGCACATCTTTATGTATCTTAGTGTAGTCTACTCGTGTGCCAAGTTATAATGAAATCAGACCAAAACTGTAGGAGGAGTAGCATATTTTAAAAGTCTTTCACAGAAATTTCTATTTTTGGTATCCATGGCAACACCATTCATCGAAATCAAAAACCAATGCACAGAACTATGTATCTTAGTGTAGTCTACTTGTGTGCCTAGTTATATTGAAATCAAACCAAAACTGTAGCAGGAGTAGCATTTTGAAAGAATTTCACAGAAATTTCTATTTTTAGTAACCATGGCAACACCGTTTATCGAAATCAAAAACCAATGCACAGAATCATGTATCTTAGTGTAGTCTACTTTTGTGCCAAGTTATATTGAAATTGGACCAAAACTGTAGGAGGAGTAGCATTTTGAAAGAATTTCACAGAAATTTCTATTTTTGGTAACCATGGCAACACCGTTCATCGAAATTCAAAACCGATGCACAGAATTATGTATCTTAGTGTAGTCTACTTGTGTGCCAAGTTATATTGAAATCAGACTAAAACTGTAGGAGGAGTAGCATTTTGAAAGAATTTCACAGAAATTTCTATTTTTAGTAACCATGGCAACACCGTTCATCAAAATCAAAAACCGATGCACAGAATTATGTATCTTAGTGTAGTCTACTTGTGTGCCAAGTTATATTGAAATCGGACCAAAACTGTAGGAGGAGTAGCATTTTGAAAAATTGTTTACAGACAGACAGACAGACAGACAGACAGACAGACGGACGACGGACGCATTACTATCGCATAAGCTCTTCTGGTCTCTGACCAGTAGAGCTAAAAAAGGGACACACCATCTCAGTGCTTGTCAAACCATCGGACGATATTGCGTATAATGAGGGCAATTTACAAGCACGGATAATTAGCTTGTAGTTACAGTAGTATAAACAGGTTTCTTTTTAAAAATAAACAGTGCTTACCGACGCCTATTCACTGAGTTAAAAATAGACAACAACTTTCAGAAAAAAATTTCTTTACATGATTTAATTTTAAGAAAAATATTTTTGCGAATGCATTGCACTCGCAAATTTGCTAAAAATTTATCTACAGTAAAAATTTCCAGATTTACGGTAGCACTTTAAAATTCTCAATGAATTGTTGTCCTTATTCCAAGAGGTCTTGCTAATTTATACATGCATGAGACAATTACTGAGTGGAAATCAATGATGCAACACATATGACCTCTGCCAAATTTAATCTGGGAATTCTCCTGCATTGTAAATGAACGATTCATACTTTTCTGTTTAATTATTTTTCTTACCTCTGCGTGATCTATTCTGACAGCCAGTTCCTTTGAAGCAAAGCCTCCAAAAACAAGAGAATGTATTGCCCCTAACCTGGCCGTGGCCATCATAGCAATGATAGCCTGGGGGATCATGGGCATGTAAATCAGTACCCTGTCCCCTTTCTCTACCCCATGCTTCCTTAGGGCACCGGCCAAATGAGTTACCTGGAAGATGGAATACCATGGTTTAAAAAATATCTTACAATGAGCATGATGAGCTGCTAGTTGCAGCATGCATTTTCTTTATTTATTTCAGAATTAACAAAATAAATACATATATTAATCTACTGTCAAGTCAAAAGTAATTTTTCATTTAGATTTTTACCTGATATAAGAGTTCTTTGTATGTGATTTTGTCCATTTGTTTACTGACAGGGCTGTCAAATATAATAGCCACTTGGTCCCCATTGCCTGCCTCCACATGTCTGTCCACGGCATTATAGCAGGAATTTAATTCCCCTCCCACAAACCTAAAAACATATAAAGAATTAATTACATAAATTTTTAAATACATTAAACTCAAAAAAAAAAAAATTAAATCATTCATCAAGAACTAACAAGTCACTGCAAATTACAGAGCATTCATATATTACCATGATTACACAGTTGAAAATCACAAAAATTGCTATACATGTACTTTAAACATTTAAAGAAAAAGTTATTGACTTTCCAAAGTGATCAATGCCAATTCACTGTATTAAGTCTAATTAATTATTTCAATAATATTTTGTAAAAATTGAAGGATCTTTATCTTGCATCTAAGACAGGTCAGTGCCCTTTGCAATATATTACAACTTATTAGTAACAAAGGGGAAGAACTCTATATTAAGTTTTCTGTACAACAAAGTTTGCAAAAGAGGAACTAAGCTCACTGCGTCAGTAAATACTAAAAAAGCTCAATCCCCTGTTTAGCTTTACCACTGAGTAAATGGAGAATTGGAATCATCCAAAACTTTCGTCCACTTCTTGTGCCAAACAATATCTTCTGATGCTTCAGCCCAAAACTCTGAAGGGTTGTTGATCGACCTGGAAAATGCGTCATCGTAAGTTTGTCCGCTTTCTGACGTGTATTTACGTGAATGCACGGTACATCTGATCAACTCTCGACATCTCTGAAATTCTGATGTAAGCTTAGAATGTGCTGTCAGTCGCCTACAACTTCGAAATATTGAATGCATTTTATGACACAAATTCACTGCGGCAACTTCGGGCACATGCATTCGGAATCCCTCTGATTTAGCAAAATGAAAGAACGCGGGAAAATTCAAATCTCTACATTGATTCATTCCCTGATCGAATTCCCTTTTATTATCACGTTTATACTAACAATATGAGTAAACTGTATTTGAGTTGAATACATTTTACTCATATTATTAGTATAAACGTGGTTGTTATTATTATTATTTTTTTTTGATCTGTTAGAGCTACTTATCATGCTTTATAAGGCTTTCATAACTGCAATAAAGTAGCCCTCCCCCCTCCCTCCCCCTTTTTTGGTCACTATTAAATTTCAGGCAGGGGAATCCATGGTTGGATACTTGCACACAGAAATGGTAATACTAGTTTGAAAGAGGATGGGAAAATGTGTCATGACGAGAGTCGGTGTAAAGACGAATAATGACCCCCATCGAATAATGACCGGGGGTCATTTTTCGACGTTGAAAAGTGACCCCCGGTCATTATTCGATGGGGGTTATTATTCGTCTTTACACCGGCATTACATCTCTGCAAGACATCACCAGGCGTAGCGTACATCAAATATACGTGTAGGCACAAAGTAATGAAGCCGATGGCTTCTTAATATGAGGCGCGAAGCGCCGATAGGGGGTAGGTGCGGGAGGGGGTCACCCCTCCTTCGAGGGGGGGGGGGTGGCGATCTCCCCCGAGAAAATTTTGAAAAATAGACGTAGAATTATCACTTTTGAGAAAAGAAAATTGTTAATTTAAACAAAATACGTATGCTTGTGTCAAGTTATTTATTTGTGCATTTTGGGAAATTCGCCCATTAAGCAGTCAGATCTTTTAAGTTTTTTTAAAAGCAAACTCTTTTAGATTCCCAGGGTATATGTCACCTCAATGTACATACTAGTAAATCTTTATTGAAGTTGAAACAATATATTATGCAGACTACTTTTTTAGGACACCCCCTCCGCGTGATTTGAATTTTTGGACACGATGATTCATATAGGCATTTATATCATTGTTATAAATTTAAATTTAAACTCTTCAAAAATTGGTATTCAAATAATGTGTTGTCATTGTTTTGTGGAAACAGATAAATTTTACTGAGAGAGAGAGAGAGAGAGAGAGAGTAAGTGAGAGAGAGAGATTCGGTCTTAGTCGATTCCGTCGAAGCCCCTCCCTCTCCCTATGCATGTACCTGTGTAAAACATTGTTTTAAGTTTTAATTATTTAAAATATCAGGAACGCTTCTGGAGGAACGAATTAATATGAAAGAACGTTTTAAGGGATTGAAACTGCATGTAACTGCATGATACTAAATTTCGGTTTAATTTGAACGATAATACATTACACTACCACTGATTACGGTAACTTGGTTGGAATTAAATCATCAAAAGGTTTCCACTTTGTTGTGATAAACTTGACTTTTTCTTAATTTGTCAAAGAAGATTGTAGGAAAGTCTTAAGGCATCCTTGTATGGGGAACTCAGTTTGACTGCTAATGCCACTAAACGAAACAACACTGTAATTTACAGCTATAAAATATATATACACTGAATTTTATTTGTTGATGTTTTTTAATGATTAACAAATTAATTAATTCATTACATTAAATTCATTTAAAAAAAAAAAAACATGTCCAAAATTATGTGTAGGCATTAGCCTTTTTTGCCTTAATGGACGCTACGCCACTGATGCAAGGTAGATGTTAGGTGTGCAGAAACCTGATGATGATGCCACACTGGCCATCAGTTGGACTGCAAGAAATTACAACACTGCTCATGATGACCTGCAACCTGAGAAACAGTCAACAAATTGTTTAAGTAAATAAATACAAGTATTGAATGTTAAATTTTTTTTTGCATGGACATCTGGAGCTCAAAAAATTTCTGTATGTGTTGTTTACAATTTTCATTTGTTTTATTTATCTTTTTATTCAGGTCAGTAAGAGAGTTCTACTGCACGGCAACAGAAGCAATGAAGAAATTCCCTTTCAATGACAAGGTGTTCCAAGGAATTGGTTTCTGAACTACAGCAAATATCTACAAATGGGTGGGGGGGTTGTCTGAGAGTTTTTTAGTTTCAACCAGGAAGAGAAGAGAAAACTTACAGATGAAGCTGCAGAATATATCCAAACTCCTTCGTCAGACCTTCCAAAATTTGAGCCAGAAACCTCCACACTCAATCAGTATTGGAAATCCTTGGGAAAACTGAAACTACCATTGAAGTGGCCAGTAGCAGTTTGAACACCTATCTGAGCAAGAATGTGCTTACTCTCCCCCACTCCAATGCAGACATGAAGAGAGTTTTTTCATTGCTAAAAAAAATACAGTCAGACTCTAGGAACAACCTTGCAGACAAGAAAATACATAATTTATTAAATGCTAAGGTTAATATTCCTGTGGAATGTCACCAATACAAGCCAGAGCCAGGAGTTGTGAAAGTAGCCATGTATGGATGTTGAGTTATCTCCCTTTATGCAGCGTATCAATTAATTGCAGGTTGTAGAGCAGATTTCAAAACCCCTAAAGGATTACATTGTTTGTGACGAGCTGACGCTTTGCTTGTCGAGAACTTTAAATTCTACGTCACATTCTCGCCACATCAAAGGAAGTAGCCGAGATAGCGTCTCTCCCACGCTAAAGTCGGTCAGCTGCAACATACAGCTTGTTTTCAGAGTTCAAAAAATGGAGTGGACAGTCCCGATGTCGTTTTCTTGAATGTAACCTGCAAAGTTAAAAGCTTTTTTTAAACCTTGAATTTTAAAAAAAAGTTTTTTTAAACCTTGAATTTAAAAATTTTAAGATTTTTTCAGTCCATTACGAATATTTAAATTGGTCGATTATTTTATTCTATTATCGCAAAATTTACTTTTTTCATATTTGCGTACAAGTCGAGTCGAGTAGTGCATGATTCATTGATCATTGGGTTTATTAGTTACGCGTATCAACCCAAGTCATGCATGCTGAGATTGTTGCAAAGAGGGAAGGCCGGGGAAGACGTGTCCATTTACCTTCAAATTTTATCGATTGAACAGGGTAATTATTACCAAACGGCGGAAAATATCTATCATTGGCGTCGGAAGCAAATTAAAGTGGGGGGCTAAGGGTAAGAAATTTTTTTAGACCTCCCAAAAAACCTGAGAAGCAAAAAAAGTAAAAACACCCCCCCCCCCCAAAAAAAACAAAAAAAACAAGGGATGTGTATTTTCCAAACACGAAAATCCTATTTCGTGCGTATACCTATGCAGCAATGTTCAATGTCTATACTAAGTCTAACTTTGGAAAAAAGTTAGACCCCCCCCCCGGTTCCGACGCCTATGTCTATAAAGCCAAAATCTTATTACTCATGCATTTTCTGATTCCTAGAGATGGGCCTGGAAGATTTTGAAAATAAATAGACTGTTCTCGAAAAAAAATTTAAAATAAATACTTGTAATTTATCCTCGACTAGCAAGAAAATATATAAGCTGTCCTTGGATAGTACTTCCAACCCCCAATCCCTACCCGAAACGGAGTTTATCCTTGGCTTGTCAAACTTTTTTTCAAATGCCAAAAAAGTTATCCGTCCCTGACTTACATGATGATATGAAAAAAATCTGAAACGAATTTCACCAACCCCTCTCCTGGGCGCCCCTTTACTCACACAGTGTATGTACATTCATTTTCACAAGGTACATGTATATATATTATATAGGCAGCTGCTGTAACAAGGAACAATCGTCTTTTTTTTCTTTCACTTTTCCAACTTATCTCATGTAATAACTGACTTTTTTAAAACCACCATTTATTTCAGATACTTAAGTTAATTATTTCAAAGTGGGTTGAAGAAATAGATGGAAAGGAAAAACCCGAAAAAGACTCAAAAATGTAGAATAATGGTTATCATCTTTATAAAAAGGAAGTTTCAAAGAACTCAAAATTAAGAAGCGAATGACGAAAAATCGAATCGGATTTAAACGAGAGCATACCCCTTCCCCCTCACACTTTTGTCGCCAATTACTTTAGTTTGTGCTGTATGTAACACAACAAAGTTAATGACATCAATTGGTCTTTATTATCTCACCTGTGCTGAAAGCTCAAGTGACCTTTATGATCACATTTTGCCCGACGTTGTCTGTTTATCCGTCTTTAAACTTTTCACATTTTCGAGTTCTTCTCTAGAACCACTGGGCCAATGTTATCCAAACTTGCCACAAGGCATTTTTTTGTAAACGGTATTCAAGTTTGATTAAATGAAGGGCGACTTCTTAGAGGAGATAATTCAGAAAATGTGAAAATTTGCAATTAATGACATGTTTTAAAAATCATCTCAAGAAACACAGTGCCAAGAATGATGAAACTTATGGGAGAAAATTTCAAGAAGTGTAGATTAAAGTTTGTTCACATAAACTCCCATCCCCTTTAAAGGTAGATTGGGACCACTTATGCATTTAAACTTTCAATACTGAGCTGATTTCTGCTATTTTCTTAGCCACAATGCTCAGGTAAGCGATGTAGCCCATGGGCCTCTTGTAGTTCCACTGCGTTAGTACAGTATAAACATTCATTGAATCGCATAATTTTTAAAAGTTGTCTTAGCATTCGATAAAGTTGTCCCACAGTTGCTGAAATCGCACCTGTCTTTCCATACTAACCTCCCCTCCATATATGGAGGATATGATGCTGTTTGCAAAAACTCTGCGTACGTAGTGCTCGGTATGGTGTTCCCTGTTATGAGTATTTACATGTCCTTACAGAAATCTCAGTTTTATAAAGGATTGCGAAAATGTGCTTTTGAGTACTTTTCTACATGATGCGCAGTATTTAAGAATTCTGCAGCAGTGCATGTATGTCGTATATGAGCAATCAGAATGGATTTAATGTGTGCTTACTGATAATTAAAAAATCAGAGTGCAAAATTAATGAAAATACCTGATCATATTTAAACATCACTGATGCAACAGAGTGAAATACATATATGCAGCCACTGAAACGTTTCCTGGAGAGAGAAAGAGAGAGAGAGAGAGAGCTATTATACGTGTGTATTTTTTAAAGCAAAACTATGCACCCGTTCTAATTTAGTATTTTGACATAATTATTGACAATTGTGAATAGGCACACTTCTCTTCTTGACAGAAATGTTCTTTTATGTATGGATACTTAAAGTACAAGTACGGTTGTTTGGGGTATACATGTAAAAAAAATCTATACATACTTATTTCTCAAGTCTTTCACTTCATGGTTTGATACATACACGGAATATTTCTCTTTTCCACAGAAAAATCATTTATCATCAACAGTACTAGTAATTTGAAAAATACTACACAATCCAAGAATGACCAGGACAAAATACTTAAAATCCAGCAATTTAAATTGATCATGTACATCATTTTATATCGCCTGACTTTTTGTATACCGTGCCATATACACAAATGGTAAATGCTATAAAATTAAATTTTCACGGCCTTTTATTTATTATGGACTCTAAAAATGCATATAATATAAATAATGCTCTTTTTTAACTGTTTGTGTTTTCTGTCCTCTTTTGTAAACCCGTTAACCGTCGCGATGTGTATTGCAGCTGACCAACTTTAGCGTGGGAGAGACGCTATCTCGGCTACTTCCTTTGATGTGGAGAGAATGTGACGTAGAATTTAAAGTTCTCGACAAGCAAAGCGTCAGCTCGTCACAAACAATGTAATCCTTTACGGGTTTTGAAATCTGCTCTAATTACATTACTGACACAGATTTTTTTATGCTGTATATCATTTTACAGGGCATTAATTTCAAATTATTCCATTTCATTCTTTCATTCAGAATTGTGTTAATCTGTGTGTGTAATAAATGGAGAGTCTAACCCTGAAACAGATCCCTTATTTTTATTTCACCTATAATTAAGACACTGTTACATGTGTATGCACATAGCATTCTGCATATTAAAATATATTTTCTTCATTATTCATTAATGTATTCTACAAACAATGCAGAATTTTTAAAAACACTTTAGGGATGAATCTTTGTCACGAATGTTTTTATCATCTCTTTAATCAACAAAAACATAAATCACATGCCATTATTACATCAGTCTGAGTATGTTTTTCATTTGTTAAAATCATCACTTCTAACGGCAACATCACACTTCTGTTATATAAATAAAATAACAGATTTGTCATAGAGTTTACAAAATAATGTTACACATCTTTGTACATGTAATACATGAATCACAAATAATCCTTCCATCTAGATCTAAAAACAAAAAAATATGTTGCACTGATCTATGGCAATTTTTTTTTTTGCACCTTCTATTTTTTCCAGTCCAGTCCACAACCATTCCAAGTTTGGGAAAATTTAAACAGGATTAAGCTGACAAATAGCACTTTCAGGAATCAAATTTTAATGCAAAATTAAATGAGATTAGAAAGGCAAAATATTTCTTTTTAATGTTTTGAAATAAAATTAATCTTGCCATGGAAAAATATTTTCCATAGCAACTTGTGTATAATTACAAAATTGGCACTTATTTGAGTCATTATAGGAAGTTCATTGATTCATGAAGTTTACTTTCATTAATGAAAATCACACAGCAGTTTCTCCTTTGATAGTCGTAAGCAGTCCTGTGTCTGGTGCAGAAGTCATGATAATTTTCTGGATTTGTTTAAATCGCGGATGTGAAGCTCCTCCCACTAGCGCTAGAAGCATACTCTCACTGGTCGTTAGATATGCCCCTGCATCCTTCATTCTTTGAAAGGCATACATCCTGGAATATTTCAATTCAATTTTTTCTTGAAAAAATAATTTATAATAAAAATGTTGACAAAGTGTATATATCTACAAAGTATCATTGTAAAAAGTTTTTAATCCTTTAATGCATATAAAAACAAGAGGTCCATGGACCATAATGCTTATTTGAATCACCTTTTAATTTACTGTACACAACCAAAATGCAAAAATATTGATAAGTTTCACTTGCTGGCAATTTTTTTCTGTCTAGCCAATTCATGTTATCTTGAAATTATTAGTATTATAGAAGAAGGTACCTATCTGTCATAGATCGAGATGAGCAGGCATCTGCTACAATATGGACGTCAAAATTGTCTTCTAGAAGGTCAAGGACTGTGTTCTGCACACACACATGATTTTCAATACCACAAATCATCACAGAGTTAATATCTGGAAAAATCAAACAAGTCTAAATAGAGATCATTGTCATATTTTAATTATATGTCAAACCTATAGACTGGCTGCTGGAAAGTTTTTTTGACAAGTTATATGCATGTTTTCTTTTTGATATCCAAACAGAAAAAAGAAAACAAACTGAAAACAATGTTTGAAATATCCCAGTTATGCCATAAAGTTAGAGAGTGTCCGAGACACCTGTGCGAGGTTAAACTACATGAACACAAAGGAGTTTCCCTTTTTACTGGAAGCACATATTATATATAGTTTAAATTAGGAAAAGTGTTTTTTACATGTAACACGCTACAAGTTTTATTTATTGTCGATAATAAATTAAAGAAGAGCTGGGAAGAGGAGAAAAATGCAGCGGCCGTCACTGATTCTACATGGTTTTCAGAATAACAACATGAAGGATTGCGAAAGAAAGGCGGATGTAGGCAAAAGCCTGTCTTCTTCTCTTAAGAAATCACTTTTAACTAAGCTATTTGTCGAAGGCGATTGAACTCATCTTGATGTCTGACTGCAACATTAAATATGATTATAAATATTTCAAAATTCATACCTTTCATTGTTTTTATATGATCCACAACCTCTGGAATTAACATGGAAAAATGGGTTTTAGGAAAAACCTTCAGTTGACTAACATCTAATTCTGACACAGTGTGTCCAAGACCTGTGAAAAATATTACAATGAAGCGCATTGAAGTGGTAAAATTTTCCTCTTGGATGAAACGTTCTGACTCATGTTTTGAACGTCAATTATAACATAATGACACGCTCATTTCTTTAGAAACGAAAAAGAAATATTCGTCGTAATGTTTAAGGACACCCCACTCTTTGTGATGAGCAACATGAGTTTCACCAAAATGGAGATTTTTGAAGTTAAAAGAGAGAGAGAGAGAGTTAGAGAGTTCCCGCTTCTGTAAAACACGTATTGCAACAAATTTGTCAATAACTATAAATTTATCATGTTTATTGGAGGTACCATAACACATGTATCGGTGGAACATGTGCTTACTCCGTGTTTATGTAGACCGTCAATTTGATTGACTATTATATTTATGGAATACGTACCTGCTCTACAGGTATTCGAATGAAGCATTTGACTGAATTTTCCTTTCTAAAGAAATGGTCGTGTCATTGTATGATAATTGTCGTTCTAAAGATAGCTCAAAACGTTCCAGCCAAACGGAAAATTTTATCACTTCAATGCGCTTCATTGTAACATGGAACAAAATTAATATTTATATTCCATGTATTCTGGAAAAAATCCATTAATTTAATAAAGTCTTTCATAAACAGAGGGATAATTTTCTCTTTACCTAATATTTAATTCAAATGCAGATGGAATAAGAATTTAATTAAATGAACACAAATTATAACACATTCAAAACATTTTGATATTTTCATAGACACAAAATTTGACCTCAGGTTATCTACCTTTGGGATACTGTTCTGTGACAATCACCGGCATGTCTAGTGCATTCGCACCTTCCAGCATTCTCCTGGCCACCTCAATAATCTGTGGATAATACATTATATTTCCACGGAACTTCTCCTGCATGTCACACAACAGCAACGCTGTGTTCTTCAGTGACACTTTACCTATTCGTCTTGCAGCTGCAGCCATGTCTTCAGAATATTTAAAGCGCTTATGTGACTGTGATCTACTTTCACTTTACCTAGTACTGCAATGAATCAAGAATGATGAGGAGAAAATCATTTATTTTTGAGTTAAATGAAACGGGTATAAGTAAGTGTCCTCCTTTTTAATGCACCCTTCCACCATTCAATTTATTATTTTTGTTTTCTTTCGAAAGGAAACCCTAAGTGTGAAAGATGAAAATAGCTGTGGCTGTTTTCTTGTTGATCAACATTGTGAACACATGTTGTTGTACGAGTTTGGAGCTGCATGCAGATGTTGTTCTTTTTGGGGCTCTTGGAGACCTGTCCAAGAAGTATTTATGGCAGAGTCTTTTCCAACTCTTTTTGAGTGAACAAAATGACAACAAAACATTTTCATTTTACGGAATTTCCAGAGATGGGGATGAAGAAGGTTCCAAAAGACTTTCCAAAATCTTGGACGATGTTAGCTGCAAAGGAGATATTAGCACATTTTGTGGTATAAAACTGCTAGAATTTAGACAGCTTGTCCAGTATGTACAACTAAAAACTGATGATCAATTTAAAAAGTTTGGAAAGCAAACTTTGAGAAATGAAATTAATAAACCAAACCAGACACTTGGGAGGATCTTCTATCTGGCTCTTCCCCCAAATGTGTATTCTTCAGTTGCTGGAAAACTCTCATCTTGTTGCAAGCTTAATACAAGCCATTCCTGGTCTAGATTAGTCTTAGAAAAACCCTTTGGAAGTGACTTGCAGTCAGCACTTGCCATGGCAACAGAAATTGGGAAATATTTTACTGAGGAGGAAATATACCGAGTGGACCACTATTTAGCAAAATCAGTGGTGAAACAAATTCTACCATTCAGGTATGTACATGTATATAAAACAAGGTCACTGGTCTATAATATTTATAAATTTCCTATTTCAAATTTAAGGAAAATTTAAGTTATCACTTTTGTTTAAAAATGTATATATTTTTAGAACAAGAAATGCTGAAAAATTGGAACCAATACTGAATAATGAACATGTAGAGAGAATTGAGATAGCAATGAAAGAGACAATTGATGTCAGAGGTAAGATGGTGTGCTATAATATAGTAAGATTAAATTTGTTTCTAAGGCTGTTTTTCTTTGTAACGTCTTCATGATCTATTTGATAAAAGCTCAGAAACAGGGTATGTTAAATTAATGATTATATTGATATCAAAACATTATCCTTTTTTCCTCAGGTAGAATAGAATTTTATGACAAGTATGGAGTGATCCGGGATGTCATGCAAAATCATCTGACAGAGTTACTTGCCTTGGTAACAATGGAGCTTCCAAACAGGTTAGAAAATGATGCAGAAGCCAACAAGAACAAAAACAAGTTACTAACCCAAGTGGAAGTAATAAAGGAAGAGCAAGTTTTGATTGGACAGTACTCCAAATATTTACAGCATGCAGAACAAGAAAAATCTAATATGTCAGTGTCTGTCTATACTCCAACATTTGCCGCAGCTTTTTTAAATATCGACTCCCCAAGATGGCATGGGGTTCCTATTGTCATGATGTCTGGGAAGGCCCTCGATGAGAGATCCAGTTATATCAGAATTATATTCAAAGACAGCGTAATGTGTGTGTGTGGATGTAAATCTTTCAATGTTTCCCAACACAGTGCTAAACAAATCATCTCCCAAATTAACCCAGGAAGTTTACCCACTGTTGGGATATTGGTATCCAAGAACCTGTTTTCTCCACAGTTGACAGAGGGGTTAGAAGACATGGTAGTTACTGCACAAGAATCTTTTGTTTTTGGACAGAGTCTGAATGAGTTTTATTTTGCAGTACCAAAGAAGGACGAGAATGCGTATGTGACAGTTGTTCGAGATCTCTATTTGGGAGATAAGAAGAGTTTTGTGACAACAGAAGGCCTACAAAACTTATGGAAAATCTGGAGCCCTGTTGTAGAAAAAATAAAATACAAATATCCCAGACTTTATTTAGAAAACAATGACATTTCTTTAAATTTTCGTTATAGCAATAAGGTTTTAAGATTTATAGACAAAAAATATTATTTAGATGAGGAAGAATTATTAGATAGAAAAAAGACATCAGTTTCTTCGATTCCATCAAACTTTTTAGGTCATATGTTGCATGTAAAACCAGAAAAACAATTGTATATTTCATTAGCTGAGAACATCTATAGAACTGCTAAAGAGACTGTAGCAAAAACGGGAGTATTCCATATAGCTTTGTCAGGGGGAACAAGTCCCATCCAACTTTACAGAACCATTTTAAAAAGATTTCCCAAATTTCCATGGAAATGGACACACATTTGGCAAGTGGATGAGAGATGTGTGCCATACAATGACCAACAGTCAAACTTTAGGACTATTGATGAAGAACTTTTACAGCATGTTCAAATCCCATTTGTTAATATCCATCCAATGCCTGTGGACATTGCAGGTGTCCTTTGTTCGGAAGGAATTGAAAAACAATATGAAGCAGACCTTATTCACCATGTATCAAAGTTACAAATGGACTTCATGATTCTGGGCATGGGACAAGATGGACACACAGCATCTCTTTTCCCCAAATCAGTATTACTTAAAGATAATAACAAATTGGTTGCCATGACCACAACTGAAGCTAGTCCAAAAAGAATGACTCTGATGTATCCCATCATAAAGAAGGCCAAAAATATTGCAGTTATAGTTAATGGAAATCATAAACATGATATAGTTGACATACTCAGTAGAAGTGAAGGGAAATCAATGCATGATTACCCTATTTTAGGAGTGAATTCTCAGTTAGGAAATGTAACATTTTATATTGATAATGATGCATGGTTTGGAAAATAAAAATTCCACCAGTACACAAATGTGTTTTGATAGTTTGAATTGCCCACTGCTCACAATCAAATCAATGAAGTTTTTTCAATTTTTGTTTATGTATATGAAATAAATACACCCCAGTTTTGCTCCCTTCTGTGGATTTGGGGAAGAGCTTGTGCTATGCTTAATTGATTTTGCAGTCATTTTTACTGTAAAATGTAAGTTCTTCAGGTAGATCCCTTGTCAAGTGGTTTAGGTGGTATATGTAATCTATGTTTTCTTGATAAGCCTTGCTCAGACTTGCATGGATATTACCGTTGGCAGGGGATGCTCACTCCTCTCCTCCATGGCACCTGATACCACCTCTGACATATTAGAGGTCTGTGTTTGCTTCATACCCATCTACCCAATTTCAATGAACATAATTAAAAGCATTTGATTAGTGGTAGGACTTTTTTTCACAAGTGTTTTTTTTTATGTGACTAGTCCTTTCTTTTGATACCAACATTTTTTTACCTTGACTTTAGGGTTTAAACTGACCAACTTTGAAAAAAAAAATCTTTGGCAGTGGCCACAACTTTAGAGTTTAAATTGACCTACTTTCCAAAAAAAAAAACTTTGGCATTGGCCTCAACTTTATTGTGTTAGCATAAGTTTTTCATATATCAATAGTTCTAAGAATGTGTGGTTCTTCTGATTTGACCTCTTTGGGTCCAAACATTTTGCCTCATGACCGTAATCTTTGAGTCTGACATATACGTTTGTAAAAAGGAACCTTGCCTAAAAATTTAAAGGGTTGATGCTGTTGCTTTTTTTTCTAAAGTAAGAGTTTTGATGCTATTTACAAAGAGGCCCATAAACCACAACGCTTCCTCTGAAAAACTTTGGCTCTGTTTTCTTTGTCAGATCCCCCATGGTACTGGGTATTATTCATTGAGAGGGACGTTAAACAATATACAATCATTGTGGCCCCAGATTTTATCGGGTCATGTGGATCTTGCATAGATTTATTTTACTGTAATTGATGATGAAGAATTTCTTCTTTGTTTAATTGAAATGTTCATATAGTATAATTTTCATACAAAAAAATAAAGGATGGAATAGATTTAGCTTTTTAGAAATAATATTGCCAGATTACAGCGAAATTCTTTTTCCACACATCGCATATGACACAAATCTACTCTATTTTAAATTACATCTTGCACACAAAACTAAATTGCTGAAATTATAATACTGTCTCGTAAGATAACAAAAGATGTCATAACTTTGTTAAATTCTTACATGGTACATACAACACACGAAAGCATTGATTCATTCTTATATGGCGGACAAGACAGAGAGCCACAAACACCTCTCACAGGATAAAATAGCCTTCCATTCTCGTCCTGTCGAGATCTCTCAATGAAGTCAGGATCTTCGTCAACACAAAGGTATTCCAGTTTGGAGTATGAATAATAATTAGACGTTAGTATACCAGAATACTGCTTGATCCATCGAGTCGGACAAGATTGTTTGGCGGGAATCATCATCGAAGAAGTCGCCATTTTGACATGGCAGACAGCGCAAGGCACATCATCATTTAAGGCCATATTTTTCAAACTAAATTCATATTCACCGCCATAGATATGACCAAAGCCGAATGATGTGAGTGGATTAGATGAAAGAGGGAAATGATCCGGTAGCAATTCAGGATCATGTGGGAGACACAGAGTATTGGCACCATTACCCTTTTCTGAATAATGGCTGCCTCCTGCTGTTCCTGTCGATAAGATTAATACATTTCATCAGAATAGACACAAAGCTTTTGAAACAAATATACTAGACTGAGTATTAAAACATAAACAAAAATACAATATTGCAGTACCTAATATACCATACAGTAATTAATATGCGTGTATGTAAATTACTGTAGCTCTTAAGCTTTCTGACTTTCAAGGTAAAATCAGATTTAATTTTTTAAAATAAATTTCTTGTAAATGCATTTTTGTACATTTTTAACTTACCTTCATAGACCAATTCCGTCCCATTCAATTTCGGACAACTGTGCTTTCCCCATCTAGTATATATGGAACCTATAGGGGAAAATATATATATATATATATATATATATATATATATATATATATATATATATATATATATATATATATATATATATATATATATATATATATATATATATATATATATATATATATATATATATATATATATATATATATATATATATATATATATATAAAGCACTAAAAATGACCAACGACACGAACAATAAAAATTGTCAAATTTTCGGGACGCCCTGTCCCTTCCTCAGGACAAAGAAAAAAGTTAAAAAGTCATAAGAACAATGGAAAAGGAGAAACAAAAACAACTAGCACTACTACTAAACTACTAAACACTAGATATTTACATACTTAATTACATGATGAATTGGAAATTTTTAAGAACACTAATAAAGAAAGAAATCCGGACCGCTATGAAATGCGTCCGGTCAATCGGGTATACTCGGGTGAAGTGCGATTTACATAATTGAACGAATTAATTATGCTAATTAATTACGACAATCAGTAAATCGTACATTGTTTCATTCTCTCAAAATGGCGTAACTTTACTTAATAAAGAATAATCGAAGAAAAATAATATAGCAGGGATATTTAAACATGTTTAAATATCCCTGCTATATTATTAAACATGTTTAAATATCCCTGCTATATTATTTTTCTTCGATTATTCGTTCAATTATGTAAATCGCACTTCACCCGAGTATACCCGATTGACCGGACGCATTTCATAGCGGTCCGGATTTCTTTCTTTATTAGTGTTCTTAAAAATTTCCAATTCATCATGTAATTAAGTATGTAAATATCTAGTGTTTAGTAGTTTAGTAGTAGTGCTAGTTGTTTTTGTTTCTCCTTTCCCTTTGTTCTTATGACTTTTTAACTTTTTTCTTTGTCCTGAGGAAGGGACAGGGCGTCCCGAAAATTTGACAATTTTTATTGTTCGTGTCGTTGGTCATTTTTAGTGCTTTATATAAATTTCCATCCGTGACCTTGTATCTACTTGGTAGATCCGACATTTAGGATATACAGTGTTGTTGGTTTTTTAGTGCTTTATATATATATATATATATATATATATATATATATATATATATATATATATATATATATATATATATATATATATATGTAGTTAAATTGAGTAAATAAATTCAAACGAAACCCCTACATAATTTATACTACTTCAGGTAAAATATGTACCGTACTTCTTGGAACTTGATTCCAGCAGCTCAAACCTTTGTTTTAGATCCGCCATTTCTTGTTTCTGGGCCTGAAACTCTGCTGCCAGAACTCTGAAATGTTCAACTTCTTGTTGCAAGGCGTGGATTTCAGACTGCATCTGTTGCGGATCATTGAGAAGAAGGCGTTTTTCTTCAGTTGATCCTATTCCGAAGAAAAACCAAAATAACGACAGTGAAAAAATAGTGATCTTCATTCCGTATATCTTTCCACAAGAAAACAAGATAACACAATTATGCAGATTTGTGTGAAAATGACATTTGCACCGATATTACAAAAGATCTACAGCACGGTGACGCTATAATTCTTATCCTCCAACTCCTTTGCTAGAACCGACGTATTTCCTTAAATGCAGCCGTGAGATTCTACAGTCTTGACAAATTCAATTAAAATGCGTTGCCTGAGAACTACAATATTTTATGAACTTTGAAAAAAATTTGAGAGATAAACAGACATGCAGCTACACAGACAGACGAACAGACAGAGCAAAAACTTTAAATTGGCCCCAAATCTCCGGACAACGTGAGCACAAAAATTGGAACAAATATTTTATTATAAATTATTACAAAAACAGTCGAGATAACATCAATGAAATATAGAAAGAAATCATACACGCAGCTACACAGACAGACGGACAGACAGAGCAAAAACTTTAAATTGGCCCCAAATCTCCGGAGTACGTGAGCAAACTGCAAAAAAGTTTCAGACCTTAACGGTAAAATAATTTTCTTTTCAATTGTAACAATTTACTATTTTTAAAGGCACACGGTACCTCATTAACTTATTTTTTCGCATGTTTTCTTTATACAACATTGTCATTTTTTGGCGATCCATTTCGACAAAACCAAGACTAAAATGGAAAATGGGCAAAGTTCTTTTAAAAAAAACTCATCTCAAAAGTTGGTTTAAAAATTTCAACTTAATAGTATCAAGGAAAGCTCAATTGATTAACTTTGTAAATACCTATTGTAGAATCATATATACAGATGTAACATCATACCATTTATTAATTAAGTCCTCATTAAAACATCGACTTTGAAACCTTGCGATAATGATTTTTAAGAATATATGACATTAGATATTTAATACATATTAGGGTTATGTCTCATGCAGAAGTTCGATTATGCTAGGTTTTAATGCAAGAATAATATGACCTTAATTTGTGCGAAAAACCGTGTGAGTTTACATAAATGTAAATTACATAAAAAGAGCGTTGAGCTGTATAGTAGAAAACTAAATGTGCTGATATATATTAATGCTGTTTAATCAATCAAAGAGTAGAGGCAATAATTGACTGAAAAACACAAAAAAGCTTTACTATATATGTAAAAGAATCAAATATTAAAAATTAATCTAATCGAGAAGTGGCAATTAAGAATTTTAAAAGTGTAGGTGCGTTGTAAGGGTTGGAATTAATTTAACTCAAGGTATTTCATTATATCGGGGCAAATGTCATTTTCACACACATTTATAAATGTGAGTGTGTCCTTTCTATCCTTATCTTACATTATTATGAAGAATAAAGACAGAATGAAGTTCACTATCTTCACATTAACATTATTATTATTTCAGATCTCTTTTGAAGAAGAATTTAACGAAGAAAAACGCCTTCTTCTGAGTGATCCACAACAGATTCAGTCTGAAATCCACGCCTTGCAACAAGAAGTGGAACATTTCAAAGACTTGGCAGCAGAGTTCCAGGCCCAAAAACAAGAGAACCAAGCTCTCAAAGCAGAGGTGGCGGATCTTAAGCAACGGTTTGGACTACAAGAGGCGGATCTAAATCAAAGGATTGGACTTCTGGAATCCAGTTCTCAGAAGTCTGGTACATATTTTTTCTTAATTCAGGGGATGCAATTTATAACAGTTTCTTTAATCATGATCTCTTTTATTTATTAAACTTTGCTTTTAAAGGTTCAATATATATTAGATGGGGTAAACACAGTTGTCCGAAATTGAATGGAACGGAATTGGTCTATGAAGGTAAGTTAAAAAAAAGCAACATTTGTTCGTTATAGTTCTAAGGAGTATACCATTATCAAATTGTGTATCTAAAAAATCCTGCAAAACTATTGCTTTTGATTAATTATATAGCCATTTCTTTCTTTCTATCATCTCTTCTTCTTAACTTGTTTCTTATGTTTCTCGACGAAAAACAAGTTTGAACTGACCTTTCTTAGATGTGATATATTTTGATTATATTTGCCATACAGGAACAGCAGGAGGTAGCTATTATACAGAGACTGGTAATGGTGCCAATACTCTGTGTCTCCCACATGATCCTGAATTACTACCAGATCATTTCCCACTTATAAGTGATGGTGGTCACTTCAGCCATATCTACGGCGGTGAATATCAGTTTAGCTTAGGAAAGGTTGTTGTGCAAGACGATGTTCCTTGTTCTGTATGTCGAGTCAAAATGGCGACTTCATCGATGATGATTCCCGCCAAACGATCGTGTCCATTTGGATGGTCTAAGCAGTATTCTGGTCTTCTGACAGCCAATACTTATTATGCCAATAAAAACGATTATCTCTGTCTAGATGAGGACCCAGATTTCATTGAGAGATCTCGACAAAATGAGAATGGTAGACTTTTTTATCCTGTGAAGACAATTTGTGGCACTCTACCGTGTCCACCATATAAGAATGCGACATTGGTGTCGTGCGTTGTGTGTACAATGTAATTATCATCCATTTCAGTAATAAAGTCACGTGTGCACATAATTCAACAAAGATGTCATGCATGTGCTGGAGCGCAGTGTTATAATTTCAGAATATCGAAAATAAGCTATCTTTCTACTTAATTTTCTATTTAAAATAATTAAAAATGAGAAAGTTCAGTATTAAATACTTGCGTTTGTTAGGCCATTATTTACACACTGAATTGTCTACGGTTTTCCCCATTTTTCTCGAACATATACAGGAGCACACGGCGGGAGTCACCCGTCAGCAGGGGATGTTCAATCCTTCGTGGCACCTGATCACATCTCTGATGTTTTAGAGGTCTGTGTTCTCTCTGTCTCTATTTAATAATGTTTAATGGAATTTTGAGCTCGATTAATGTTCGTTATCTCAAGATATTTCATGCATATACATGTATAAGATATGACATAAAATTCATGCATCTTCATCCCCGGTCGATTGGTCACACCCAATGTGCGCTCCTTGTCATGATCGGGCAAGCATAAAAACTGTAGATCATTCGGTGTGAAAATGAAGCATAGCAATTTGTCTAAAATGTTAATCAAAATGCACCCAATGATAGATTATATTTCCTGACAAGGTCATTGAATTAGCAACTTAAAATTTTGGAAATCACGACTTTAAACGAGACTGTTGATATCCTTTTTTCATCAACTTATTTGATAAAAGCTTGCCTTGTGCCTTGTTTAAAAACTTATCTATACATCTATCTCTTCATGCATTTAAACTTATTATTGTTCTTTTTTTCCCTCTAACTCCCGCTTTGAAACACTCCTTCCTGTCTGACCATGATTCCCTTAGATATTGCTGTCTTATAGTGCGTACATCTATGCAGAAATACGACATAAAACAGAAACCTAAACTCAGTGCTAGTATCTAGTTAATAAACTTTGACAATACAGTGCTTGGAATAAGGCTTTAAACAAGACTTTAAAAAGAAATATGCTCATTCAAAATCGTAATTTTTTAATCCTCGATATATCATTAAAATTTTCAGGATATATCGGGGATTAAAAAAAGATTTATTCGTGTAATTCTGCTAAAAATACCCCAAGAAAATATATCATTGTATATATTGTACTCTCCAAGGATTTCTAAGGAGCCTTCTCCTATTGATATTTACATAGCAGTCATCTAAAGTCATTAATGGCCCCGTACCTGATAGCTTGTCTTGGATTGCTTTTGTAAAAAGTAATTTTGTGTTTGAAGATCTTTAATTTAAGGCCTTGTTCAGAGGAAGGTACCAATTTATGTTAATGTATTCTGTTCAATACTTGAAAATAATTTTAGCAATTTTAAAAGTAATTAGTAGGGAAGTCACTAATCATTCCATTTAAGCATACATTGTTATATGTTGACATTAATTTTCTTTTATCATATGCAACTTTCTCATAGATAAATTGATGCTTCTTTTCGATATTTTACGATTTTAAATATTTGATCTTGGAAATTTCTTTAGATGAAAAGACGGTATGTTTGTTTTTCCCTATTAAATCAATCTGATGATTGCGATATAAAAGTCATTGTTTCTTTAATCCTTTCAAAACTGAAAATGCCTTTTCAGCTAGGAATGGTAATGTTCATTTTGACAACATCCAAACTCATTACTTGTTCATTTGTGCACAAAAATGGTTTTGCATTCAAAGGCTATGTGCATCATGGCGAAAATCAACATGTATTACAGGAATTATCCAAAGCAAGCGAACAAAACATGATGGGGTTTTGTTCCGGAGTCTGTGTCCATGAAAACGCCTGCTCAGGTTTTGAAATCTGTGATGTAAATTCACAGCAAAGCTGTAGGCTGTCAAACGCTATGCCACCTACAAAAAGCCAAGGACATTGCCGATATTTCCGAAACGTAAGTCGGCTTGATTAAGGCTTAAGGATTTTACTATTCCTTCTTCAGTTTGATTTTCTTCTATAACTAGAGGGAACACAGATTTTCCGCCTTTTTTGGGGTGGGGGTGGGTGGTAAATTTACATTTGCATATGCGTTTCTCTATATGAAAATTATATGGCTACTATAATTTATGTATTCATGTACAGAGTCAGATAAATTTTTCCTCTATGGTTGTTGTACATGCATTGGTATAATAATTTTGAAGGTAGAAGTTTTGTTTTGCCTTTTCTCCGTAGATTCGACAGTATTCCCGATTCTGCAGCAGTGCGTCCGTCGATAAAACATGTCTAGGACTGTATCCAGGTATTTAAAAAAAAGAGACACTGTGGCAATTAATTTTTATAAATGAAAGAATACTTATTTCATTCATATGATTTTATTCATATATTATCATATTTACTCGCACTATTTTTTGAAATCCTTTGATGAACATGTATGTAGGTATGCTGTTGTAACAGTATAAATCTTTAAAGAAAAAACCCCATTATTTTGAATAATTATTTTATAATCGAAGATTCGGGGGTATATAGTTTTTGTCGTGTCCGTCTGTCTGTCTATCTGTTTGTCTGCGAAAACTTTAACCTAGCCCATAAAACTTTCGATTAAGTGGAGCTATGACTTTCATATTTTACATGTGTATTCCATGTGACAAGACCTTTCTTTGAGTACCACCAAATATGAAATTTTGACATTGACCTTGGAGTTGGACTCACTTTTACACAAAAATTATAAGCTTTTAATTTTGCCGTGACTTTTGAACGGTAGATACTAGGACTTCCATATTTCACATATGTATTTTTTTGTGACAAGAACTTTCATGGGATACCAACAACTCTATCCTTTTGAACTTGGAGATTTACTTACTTTAAAAAAAAACTTAAAACTCGCCCATAACTTTTGAGCGGTAAGGGCTAGGGATTTCGTCCTTCATATATGTAATCTTTGTGACAAGACCTTTCATTGGATACCAAAAACTTTAACCTTGGAGTTTGGGCTATTTTTTAAAAACTTTAACTTGGACATAACTTTTGAACGATTAGGTCAGGGCTTTCATACTTCTTATATTTAATCCCTGTGAGAGGACATTTCAATGGATACCAACAACTTTAACCCTTTGACCTTGACCTTAGAGTTTGACCTATTTTTTTCTCAAAACTTTAACCTCGGCCATGACATTTGAATGGTTAGGGCTTTCATACATAACATATTTAATCCTTGTGACAAAACCTTTCTTTGGAAACCAACAACTTTGACCCTTTGACTTTGACCGATCTTCCAAAAAGTTATCCTTGGCCATAAGTTTTGAGCAGGTGCTGGTGCTATGGCTTCATGTTTCACAATGTATTCATTGAGAGAAGATCTTACTTTGGGTACCAACATATTTTATTTGCATTTAAGAAGTTTAATCTTCGCTATGTTGCTTTACGGGGCATCAGTGTTTCAAAAACACATCTTGTTTTCTTTACTATTATTCAGAGTGTTCAGACTGTGATTGCGTTTTGGGATATACAAATATTAGTGGAATATATGAGGTTAAAATGGTTGGTGCCTTCGTTACAGTTGAGTGTGTTCTATTGGATGGGCACTCTTACACGGTAGGTAAACCAACATATTTTATTATTTAAAAAAATATACTATCATTTGGGTTCCGAAGAGAGTTCCAAAGAGCATGAAAGATATATGAATAATACACGTATTGGCAGAAGACATGGTAAAGGGTTTTCCCAGCTAATCCATTCTAGTTCTTTTCAGTTCCATTTAGATGATCACAACTTGTCCGGCGTCCACGGAGATCTACTTAGGAAGATAGGAAAACATTTTCAAAAATTTTCTATTATAGAACAGCAAAGTCTCGATAAAGCTTATTGATATAGATTAGAGGCCGATAGGTCAGGAGCTAAGGATGCCTACTATGCATGCAAATCTCGTGCCCATCTGTCTCTGTATCTGACGCTAAGGAGACCAAGTATGCATGTAAATCTCGTGTGGCTGCCTTTGTGTTTGACTTCAGTGGGCAAGAACTATCAAAATTGACATGGGAGTCCTCGTGTAATTTAAATCTATGTCTACATTTTTAAAATCTAAATCTACAATTTTATTTTACAATGAAATGGAAATATAAGGAATCACGTTCTAGTTAGTGTAGTATGCCAGGGACATCAACAATAGTGGGAAACATGGGATGATTTATGCAAAACGAGCTTTGCCCGTTATGCAAATTTTCCCATGTTTCCCACTATCGTTGATGCCCTGGCATACTATACTAACTAGACAGCGATTCCTTAAATATTTTAGGCAGTGAGGTTTCCAAATTGTTCAAATCGTGACATTGAGGGATAGGGTGATGCTTTGTCTATAGAGATATTGAAAAGGGGGCGGATAAAAGGAATAAAGTCTCTACATAGGAATATATAATAGAAAAATCTGCTGATGAAGAACAATAGGGTTATCTTGGGCCTCTTGTTTGTTCTGGTTTTCTTGTTCTTTTTTTGTTTTGAATAAGATGAATTTTAATATTTCGGGGAATAAGATAAGAATAGACAAAGAACAAATTAAACGAGACCCATGGGCCAATTCGCTCACCTGAGCACAGTATTGAAAAGCTTTAATACATAAATGGTCCAAACCTAAAACGGGGGTAGGGTGAGGGTATGATTTGATTTAAATTGTATCTACATTAACGAAAAATGCTTACATATTTCTTTGACTTGCTGTGACTCTTTCTCCTGTAAGTTGGAAAATTTCCTTTAGGCCTCACTCAACTTTCAGGGGTCATAATATGAACTAACTTGAATCTACACTACCTGAGGATGCTTCCACATTAGTTTCATATTTCAAGACCAAGTTGTTCTTGAGTAAAAGTTATTTAAAGATTTTTTTCTATAAATTCCTTTGTTTAATTTTGATCTTTCATTGTGGCTTCACCCTACTCTCGGGGGGAGGGGGGGGGGGGGCATAATTTGAATCTACACTACCTGAGGATGCTTTCATATAAATATAACCAATCATGGCTTTGTTGTTCTTGAGAAGAATTTTTTAAAAAAGTTTTTCCCTGTATATTCCTATATAAAACTTGGATCGTCCATTGTCGCCCGCCCTACCACCGGGGTCATGCTTTGAGTTTGAATCTACACTACCTGACTATGCTTCCACGTTAGATTCATTTTTCAAGACTAAGTTGTTCTTGAGCAGAAGATTTTTAAAACATGACACCAAAATTTCACTATTCCTTAAATATCTCCCCTTGGCCCTTCATTTGGACAAATTGGAATCCCCTTTTTCAAAGAATACTTTGTGGCAAGTTTGGTTGAAATTGGCCCAGTGGTTCCAGGGAAGAAGCCGAAAATGTTAAAAGCTTGTGTAATACAGAAAGGCAGACGGACAGACAAAATGTGATCAGAAAAGCTCACTTGCGTTTTCAGCTCAGGTGCGCTAAAAATTAAAAAAATAAGTTGCATTTCTTTATCACATCTAACTATTTGAAACTTATTTTAGGTGATACTTAGTCGACGTAATGGTAAAGTAGATTTTAATAGAAGTTATGGTGAATATGAAAGTGGCTTCGGATCACCGAACACTGAAATGTGGCTAGGTACGTATATGATTAAATTATACTTTCTCGTGAGTTTAAATGTTGTAAAATAACACTGTAATTTTTTATGCTTTATTATAATTATATCTTATTTAAAGTTAAGTCATATTTCATTTCAATTCTTGTTACTTTCATTTTTACAGGGAACAAATACATTCATTTCCTTACAAGTTATCGATGGTCAATTTTGAGAATTGAGTTAACATACTCCAATTCTAGTGTTGTAGATGTTGAGTATGGGCATATTCAGGTTCTACATCCCCGCTATAATTATTATCTCCACATTCATGATTTTTCTGGAAATACAAGTAAGAATCATTTCAAGCGTAAATTCGTAAAGGGAATTAAGCTGTTTTAGTGGTTTCCGTTGTGTAGTTTAGAATATGATAATTTTTAGTTAAAATAAGTAAGATCTAATTCATCTTGTATGGTTTCTTAATAAAACACAATTAATATTCACATTGGAATTCACCTGTACGGAAGGAAGAGTGGACGTACAGACAGACGGACGGACACCCGATCACTATATACCCTCCCACTTTCAAGCGGGGGTATAGTAATATTTATAACGTATATTTTAGGTGACATGATGTCATATTTAGATGGACGACGCTTTGGAGCAAATGACTACGATTCTGGACGATGTGGCTGTCCGATCTTGGCGTCTGGTGGATGGTGGTGTGAGCACTCCTGTAATACCACGTGTAGTTTGACGTCACCTTACAACGGCAGTCCTTATTATTTTGGATGGGACTGTGCTTCTGAAGTCGAAGCTAATGCACGGTTACTGAGTGCGAAGATGATGATCAGATTTGACTAGTTAAATTTTCTGATATTTGCTAATCTTTCTGAATTATAAGTTGAGTTCTGTAGTTTTCTGCATATTTACATGCAGGAACCTCTTGAGAAATTTTGTTCTTCTTGTTTTCGGCCGCAGAAGCGACCGGTCTATTTATGGTTGTGTTAGAAATGAGGAGAATTGAGGTGTTATTCTTTATTAAAGGTTTGACAAAATTATTCTTAAATAATAACATTTTGTTATCCATTGGTTAAATAAATATTTAAAAAACACTATTGCAATAATGTTATTTTTGTATACATGTAGCTTTGTTTATTTCCCTTTCCATGTATTTGTTATTTTTCCCAAAAGATATTATGAAAAAGTACTGTAGTACTTTTTAAGCGCTAAGAGCGCATGCGCAAGTGCTTACTAGGGTGTCTTCAGATTCCATGAGGATTTTCATGATCTTTTAATCAACGACCTCTACTGACCATATATATCACGGCTGCGTTCAATACCATAGTCGTTAGTAAACCTATGCGCAGTTTAATATATGCTATGTTGTTTTGAAAAGACAGCTCGCCTACCAGTAAGGTGTTAATTCTATTATACAGTCATTTCATTTATAACTAATATTATATGGGGGGGGGGGGGCATGCAAAAATTGAATGGGTAAGATATTACGTTTAGATGAAGAAAATTCCTTCGGTTAGTACATGTATATATACAGCATGTCGCGAGATGCAAAGTATTATGCAAGTAGGATTGCAGGATATCAAAGTAAGCATAAATATTTATAATACATATTCTTTACGTGGCTGATAGGCTAGCAAAATTCTTGTTCGAAATTCGTATCTGTACTTAAAATCCATCTAGCACTAAGATCTTGAACGCACCCTAACGCGCCCTCTATAAATAATGATATAATTATGGCACGCCAAATTCACAAAAATGAGATAAACCTAGTTTCACAATTGATAAACTAGGTTTATCGACTGTAAACTATAGTTTACAAACCGTAAACTATAGTTAACGATTCGTTAAGTATAGTTAACGATTCGTTAAGTATAGTTTTCATCTGTAAAACTATATTTAACGAATGTTAACTATAGTGTACGAATGATAATCTAAGTTTATCTGTCTGTAATTAAAGGTTAACAATAGATTTTGTTGATAAACATAGATTCACGTTTGTAAACTATAGTTTACAATCGTAAACTATAGTTAAGAGTTGTTCATCATAGTTTCACAAATCGTGAAACTATATTTATCAGATCGTTAACTATAGTTAACGGTTTGTAAACTATAGTTTACAAATTGTGAAACTGTATTTATCAGATAATCTATGTTTTGCAATCGCAAATGATTGTTTTCGGTGTTAAGTATAGTTTACGGCTGTGAAACATAGATTATCGCGTTAACTATGGTTTACAGATGTAAAATATAGATTAACGTTGTTAACTATAGTTTACAGTCCGTAAACTATAGTTTACAACCGATAAACCTAGTTTATCGACTGTGAAACTATGATTATCTCATTTTTGTGAATTTGGCGTGCCATATATAATTATGTAAACAAATGGGGTTCTACATATTGTTGACCTAAAATATCTCCGTGGAGTAATATATGGTTCTTTTTAAAGGTGATTATATTTTTTTTAAAAATAAATGTATATTGTATTCGATTTCAAAATGACGAACTCTATTACGCGGAGTGATACATTTTTAAGCGCGAAGACAGCCTACAAAATATAGCGCGACTGAGCAAATTATATAACTCTACTGAGTCGTCTAAACGACTGAAATCCCCGACCCTCTGTCGGCTACCTAGTGTAGGAGTTATAGTAGGTGTTAATTAGTACAGCCGATATTAACTTTCATATGTACGGAAATCCTGCGTTAGTGTTCTTTTCTACATTTTGTTCTTATCTCCGAGCAATATGGTGCATATTAATAAGTACTGGCAAACACCAATTATGTCACAAATCTGACCCTTTATGTTGATATATTGATACAAGTACCGTAAACATTTCATAATATGTAATGCTACGTTGTGATTTAACGTGTATTTAAAATTCTTATTAAAAGTTCAACAAGTATTTAAGGGATAACTGTCTTATTTTTCGATTTCATGATGTGATCAATCGATTGGCTTGAGCGATAATTTTCATAAATGCCGAAGGCGTTTATGCATAAAATTATCACGCAAGCCAATCGATTGATCATCTTCATGAAATTGAAAAATAAGACAGTTATTCCTTATATTTACATTCTTTGATTCCGCCAATCCACGTGCTCCAAGCCCTGCTTCTGACTGGCTGTTTGTACTGCCCTGCACGTGTTTTTTTTTTTTTTGGAACCACGCCAATACATTGATGGGGAAATAAATTACATTTACAATTTGTAATTACATCCCGGAAATGTAAATATTAAAAATTCAGATGGGAACAAAATCTTTTAGTAGTACAATTCCATATTAAAAATTATTTAACTAGGTTCTATATATAGTTTGCATCTTCAGTTTGTATCTTCATAACCTAATTTTTCACGCTCTCTTCTGGGCCTTTATTTCAAAACAATGTAAATACAAACGGGCCTTTTTATTATCAAACTTGCATCATGTAGAGAGCTATCCATGATAATGATTTCACAGCATCTCATTATCCATTAGTAGCAAAAACTTGAACGCATTTATACAGATAGTCTATACTTGTTTTGTAGTCTTTATATCTGTAACAAAATATTTTGATGCAAAAAATTCTTTTTCACTGAACGCTTGGGTTTTGTGGCTTTTTCATTCTAGTCAGCATGTTTTGCATGACAGTGAAAAAAATCCGAAGCATTATAAAGTATTTCCACCAAAAAGAGTTCAAGGAAAATACTCACAAATTTTAATATGAAATATTGTTATTTCGAAGTAGAAGAGTATCTGATTTACCTTTTTTTATTTTAAAAAGAAATGTTGACAAAGCAGCTTCAAATATTACACGAGAAACAGAATGGCCAAACTTTTTAATTTTCGGTACAAATAAATTATAATTCATGTGCGTGAGAATCATACATGAAGGAAAAGAATGATTTTTCATCAAATGACAAAAAGAAAAATGCAATATTCTTATACCCAAAATTGATATATAGCAATGTAATCTGGAAAAAATTAAGTAAAGTCTTCGGGGATTTTTGTTACATGATAGCGACGTGCTGCACGGTGGGGGATTGACATCACAATAATGTGAAATATTTTTTTAAAATTATGTTCAACGGTAGCATATTCAAAACAAAATTTAAAAGTCTAATGTTTATGCATTATTTATATACCCAGACACTTGTAATGATTGCGTGTATATCTTATAATTACAAGCTCCCATGCTAGGAAAGGATTTTTCTTGTAAAACCTTATATAAAATTAAAATTTTATAAATATTTATGAAGAGGAGAAAAAGTTAAAAGATACTAAAAAAACCCAGTTCAAACAAAATATAAAGCCATTTTAAATATCTTTTATTCATATTCCTAATATATGTTATCATTAAGGATGTTTTAAATGGAACAATTAAGAAATATCTCATTTCTCTGTGCACTTTCAAACACAACTGCCAATAGATCGATCACTCCTGCGGCCGATAATAACAAATGAAGTCACGGTCGCCGACAGCCAATTTTGAACTTCAGTACGAAGAAATAAATGTTCTTTTTCATATTCTTGAGAGCGGAATGATTTATTGTTAAAAATTATCATTAGAAGGTTTTGTGTTCTCCAATTAACATTCAAGAGAAGAATATCATCATTTTATTTTGGTACTCAAGTATTCAAAATTGTCATACCGGGGTATATAAATTGTCTCTAACTAAAATATAAAATTGTCAAAATTAAAAAAAACTAACTTTGCAGCTAATGTAGAGCTATATACATAATCTGAAATGAGACGAGTCAGAAGAAAAATTGAACTGAAACATTGATCGCAGAAACCTGGACCCACATGCAACACAAGTAAGCTTGTTCTCCGGACGGGTAACTGTTTACTGCTCTATGGTGCGACAAACAAAGGTTAAAAAAGTATTTCACTTGCTTATATAAAAATTGCACAGAGACAGTAAATCAGATTCTCCTTGTTATTTTTTTTGTGCATTTTTTTTTACTTTGTTATTTTAATACTACTTACATTCGATGTTATTTAACGTCACAGTGAAGGGATTCAAGAGCCGGGTTTATTTCAATTAAACAACTGAGGCCCCCCCAACGGTCGCACCATCAAAATATTACATATTCTTTTTCCAATGTAATAAGGAATGGAATTTAAATTCCGATGAATTTCATATTGAACCCTGCTTAGCGCTTCCCAGTACTTTCAGTACTTTGATTTGTGTTGGGAGTGTAAAGAATATGAACAATCTGTGCAAAAAATAAATTGCTTTGATAAAAAAAATGTAGGACTAGTAGATTATGTTCTGAATGTTAAGCTTAGGTGCGAACGACAAAGGGTTTGTTATCTCCACGTGTCAAAATCATTTTGTCACATAGAAATCCGAAAAAGATTCATGAATACTCATCAAGAATAAACATTTTGGCTATGTAATACCTCAATCTATCTTCTCCATTTAATTGATGATAATACATGTGCTTTATATCTGTTTTATTATTTTTTTCGAAGATTTGCTTTGAAAAATAACATTTTTATAATAACATAATTTTTTTTTCAAAATTGCACTGATAATTAAAGTCGGGTCGTTTCTACTCATGATACCATTTGTATATTTTGTAGCCAGTTTGTCCAAGAAATGCAATTAAAAAGAGATGACAGTTCAGTATTTTTGCGCTTGATTAGATATTTCGCACCAATAAATTGTCAAAATTATTATTCCAAGTTGCTTTATCTTTAATAATATATTTCAACTTAGAATGGTTGTCATTGTTTTTCCTAATCAATGCCATTCATTTTGTTGCAAAATTCCCTTTTACTTAATAGTGTACAAGGAATAATCATTTTATGTTTGGAAAAATTGGCCGGAGAATTAATACGACAAATAGAACTTGATTTTATTTTACTTTGTTCCCTTTACAAGGGTGGTCAGTTGGAAAATTTAAATTTTTGCAAGTAAAACTTAAATTTATCGAGTTTCAGTACGAGGCATAGCCCTTATGTTATTAAATATTCCATGTTATAGGTGCCTCTTCTCTAAAATCATTATCTTTAGTTTTAAAAATCAATGTTCTAATAAAAGGGAAGTTGTTTAATAGTAATATTAATGTACAGAAAATACAGGCATTACATGAACTGCACTGTTTCTGAAAGAAGGCACGGCAAAATGATGCTTGGAAATGAATAGACACAAAGACGGTTGCATTTGACGAGAAACCATGAAAAAACCATTTGGAAATTTATTTCGTCCGTTGGATCGTAATTTCATAGATAGCTTAAATATGCAAAAGATTCAAAAAATAAATACGGAGCAACGTCAAAATTGAATAATTTACTAATTTTCACTTTATAGTATCTAAAGCCACACCTCTAATAAATGGAGCTGAAACGAAATTCAAATTACATGTTTAAATTTAGTCTTGCTGTATTACTTAGGATGCTATCAGGTAATGTAATATACCGCTCCGTTTAAAAGATATCAGTTTCTAAACACATATGGACTTGATTAAAAATTGCAAAAAAACATGACGTTCATGTAGGAGGACGTCACGGAGCAGCGAGTAGCGATAAAATTTTGCTTTGCATTCGGGACACTTCTTTAACAAACTTAAAAAATTCTATACAAACCAGGAAATATATGAAAATAAGCCAAGTATTTGTATAAATATGGAAAATACAATTTTTGAGTGGTAGCGAGTTTGAATCGGACGATGGATGGTCTGCAAAGAAACAGGTTTTAGTTAAAAATCTTGTCAAAAGAGTTAGGAACGTCATTAAACGTGATGTGCTTTTCGCTGTTGCGGAACTAATCGAGTTAAATGTACGCGGTAAAGAATTTGAAAACACTGACAACCTAGTTCAAGCTATTTGCACAATTGTTAGCAAACTAGGTGTTACGTGTTATAGATACGTTTTTATGAATGGAGAAGACGCTACAAACCGTATATGAAATTAAAAAGCAGAGTAATTTTGAGAAACTTTCTCGGCATTGTTTTTGACGTTACAGTGTTGGTTAACCGTGCTCCGTGGTAACAAAACATGCTGCTTTAAAAATTGGCTAGAATGAGTTCTATTTAATCAAATGGAATAAAACTTCACACTTCGACAAAATAAATGTTCTTATTTACAATAGTGTGTTCATCTATCATCTTGTAATAATAATATGACGATGGGGAACACAGTCTACGTTTTTTTTGTATGAGCCTCGTAGAAAAACAAATGGACGCATTATTAATTTGTTACATTTGTTTCAGTTAAAATTATCACTAAATATTGATTTAAATACTGCCATGATATTTATTTTATTAGTCTGTTAAATAATCTTGATCGAAAGAATTTTGAATCAGCACTAATTACAAGAAAGGAGCATTGTAAGTTTATTATTTTACTTTCCGATGATTGAATATTCATGTAAGAAAATGTTTTTTAAACAAGAGATCAATTTAAAAAGCTGGTCTTTGTTAAAGAGCTTACGATTATTGGAAAAAAGAAACACCAATTATTGTCGACACGATTATTGTAAATATACATATTTATCATTCTGTATTTATTTTTGTTTTCTAATTGTTGTCATTGCAAACGTTGACACAATGAATAAAATAAGCGTTAATTAATATTACTGCACCATTCATTAAACACAATTTCAAGGTTCACTGTGTCAACGATTATATAACTTCAGCAATTTTAAAATAATCTTTCTTTTAATCTTTGAAGCAAGCAGACCACAATGCTTGCAGCAACACTTGCATTTCTCATTCCTCTTTTCAGCCTTGTTGCAAGTGTTTATGTTATCAAGCAGAACTTTGCCTTTAAAGGTTATGTACAACATGACACTGATGCACATGTGATAAAAGAATTATCCCCAGCAGACGGAGAGAACCTAAGGGGATTCTGTCCCAGGGTCTGTGTCCACGAAAAGTCTTGCACTGGATTCGATATTTGTCAGGTTGAACCAGAAGGAAAATGCAGACTCTCTAATGGAGGAGTAACAGCACCGGGAAACATTTTTACACAATGTGGCCACTATGAAAAGGTTTTATTTTACTTTAATTTAAAATGCAAAGGTTTATATATCCGGAAAAGATAAATGTACACATATTGTTATTTAATTGTGTCGGTCAACTCATCCGAAGCACCTGTGGAATTTCCAGGGATCTGTATTTTATGCCCTCTTTGCATCTTTGTATTTTTTATGAATTGTTTGAGTCAATCACTGTTCTTTATATTCATCATTTTCACATAAAACCCTTGCAAAAGAGAAAAAAATAAACTTTTATATTCTAAAAAAAAGTCACTCTGTAGAGCGCTCACTTATTCATCGGAAGGCTTTCGGTACCTAACGCGATAGACTTAAGAAAGGATAAGTCGATAAACATGACAAAAGCAACCATTATTTCGCAGAGCGCTCGGTACTTTGATGTGCAATTTGCAGGCCTTTCGAATGGGATATTAAACAATTTAAAATCAATTTTTCAATTTTCAGGCCTTTCGAATGGGATATTAAACAATTTAAAATCAATTTTTCAATTTTCCGAATGTAAAATATAAAGGCTTATTGGTTTTGTAAATCTTTCTTTTTAAAGTAAATTTTAAGGTATGCATATTTTTTTTGGAAGTTTACTTCTTCTAGGCACTTAATCTCATCTTTGGATTTTCCAGCTGACCGGTTTTTTCCTCTCTTTACATATTTTCATTGTTTATATTTTTAGATCGATTACTGTCCATTATCATGTGACTTTTACATGTATTTATAATTCAACATCACCAAATAAATACTGTAATCATTTTCAGATTGATCAAATCAAATTAATCTGCGATCCACTATCGTCAGTGATGGCCTGCCTTGAACATGGTACTGTTTTAGATGTGACAAACGATATTGCACCCGAGTTAACCACGAGTGAGACGATAATAACTTCTGGTGGAGTGGTGCTTGCTTCTTACTTAAGTATGATAGTTCATTGCAGAGTCATTGTAACGTTTCTTTTTAAAAAAAATTCTAGAGTTGTATATGCTGTTTGTTTTTAAAAAGTATTTTCTGTCCAAAAATACTTTCTTTCAAATTAACAATGAAAAAAAAAAAATAATGATTGGAGTTTTACTAATCGACACCAATCAACAAAAGTAAAATTATTTTATAAATTGATATTTAATTTTAAAGATTGTTCCAGCTGCGAATGTGTCTCGAGTTATACAGATGTCAGTGGTGTGTACGAAATACAGATATCTTCTAGTGAGAATCTTACTGTGGAGTGTGTAATGATGGAGGGACACGGCTACATAGTAAGACTTTAAGATTTCGTGTATTATTTCTGATATACGGAGAATCCTCTTCCATACAGATAATTAAATTAATAACTAACTTAATAATAATTAAGAACTTGCATTCGCTTGCATATGTATATGAATCTTTGTGATTGCAAGTTATAGAGACAATACATATATAAAGGTCAATGAAAAAAATTAGAGTTTTACTTTATCTGGCGAAAGATGTTGATGCTTTAGCAATGGGAAAAAGATCTTACTAGAAACTTTGCTATATCATGCACTAGCTTATGTCAGCCGAAATAAGCTTTGTTTTTTAATACGTTGTTAAAATAATTTTTGCTAACTCTGCTTTTAATTCTATTGAGGCATAGTTGGGGTCCTTGGGTGATATATATGCTATTAAATATACTTATTATAACAAAGTTTATAGTTTAAGTGTCTTTTATGAGACAAAACTTTTCAATTATTACTTTCTCCTTTTAATGATTCTAATTAATTCCTCTTAGTATCATTTTTATTTCCATATTAAAAACATATACTTGAATATATACAGCTAAACACCCTTTTTAAACTCACATGGTTTTTCGCACAAATTAAAGTCACATTTTTCTTGCAATAGAACTTAAATTTATCGAGTTTCAGTACGAGGCATAGCCCTTATGTTATTAAATATTCCATGTTATAGGTGCCTCTTCTCTAAAATCATTATCTTTAGTTTTAAAAGTCAATGTTCTAATAAAAGGGAAGTTGTTTAATAGTAATATTAATGTACTGAAAATACATATATATCATCCAAGAGCATATAAAAATCCTACCAATTATTACGTGTGAATTATGTTTAAAGTAATCGAACATGATCAAAATTAAATTATAAATCATTTTTAAAATATATTTCGTTATCACATCACACAATTTTGCATTATAACAATGTGACCTTAATTTGAAAAATTAAAACCATGTGAATTTAAAAAGTTCGTTGAGCTGTATTTTTAGGGTAGATATTTCTCGATATTTTCTTTCTAAATGTAGGTTAATTTAGGGTTCAAATGTCAAAATACATGATATTTATAGGTAGTCTTACAGAGACACGACGGACGTGTGAATTTTAATCGAACATTTTCAGAGTATGAGAATGGTTTCGGTTCACCTTTTACGGAGATGTGGCTGGGTGAGCATTGAAAATAATTTTACATACTGTGGAATCATTTTGATTTGTGGCGTCAATGTTCGTAGGAAAGCGAAATTTATTTCGTCCGTTGGAACGTAATTTCATGGGTAGCTTAAATATGCAAAAGATTCAATAAATAAATATATGCTGACAAAAATTATGTTCCTGGGGATATACATCAGGAATTAGTGTGATCCACGAAAACCACGAACATTGGTCCCCAGCGAACATTGATAATTCCAAAGTATAATGAATAATTTGACATTCTTTTTGATAATAGTGAACACCAGACCTACTTTAAAAATGTGTGCTTGCTCTTTCCTGACTCAGGATGAAAAATCGGGTTGGTAGATTGCAAGCCATGGGTTTTGTGTCCCTTCAATTTCCTCAAATGGAAATTCTAGTGGAATGGTCACACATCCCTTGGTTTGCAACAAAGGTAAAAAGGATGGGAATTTTTTTATGCTGAATTTTAAAATCTATTTTGAGGAATGCATAAAAATATGTTCTGGAGGTGATTTATTTTTTGAGTTTTGGGTTGGAAGAGGGCAACCAAACAATTTTCAAAAGATAGTTTAACTGTGTGTGTGTTTAAAAAAAAAATAGACTGGTTTTATTTAATTATTTTTGCAATATTTAAAGGAAACAAATATCTATCCGCACTTACGTCATCTTGGGTCTCAGGAATTAGGATTGAGTTAACATATTCTGACTCCACCCACCGGTATGTCGAGTACAGTGACGTCATTGTCAGAGGGGCCAGTCAGCTGTTTCAGCTTAGTTCACTGACGGGATATTCCGGAAATGCAAGTAAGACGATGACTAGTCAAAACTGGATTAAAACACTCCATACAAAAAGTATTTGACTTAAACCAAACGGAAAAAAGTAAAAGATAACATAGTTTTCGATCTCAGAAACTTCAAAAGAATAGAAATATGTACATGGACAACATGGAACTTTCAGATGATAATTTTAAAGAAATTAAAAATAACTGTTTATTGAAATTAACTTCTATCATACTCAACTGCCTTTTGAAATAAGTTACGCATTTTTTTTTCATTTCTCTCATTAGGATTACAAACATTTTTGTAACATTTTTAGGTGACATGTTAATGGGATTTAAAGGATTCAGTTTTGGAGCCTATGACTTTGACCCTCAGTCCTGTGATTGTCAAGCTGTGAAGTATGGCGGATGGTGGCATAACTGTTGTAATACAACATGTACCCTCACGTCACCTTATAACGACCCCTGGTATCCGTTTGGTTGGGACTGTGAATCCGAAACCAGTAATAGACTAATGAGTGCAAAAATAATGGTGAGAGGAGGCAGCTCTCTGTTCGGATGAAACTACAGTTACAGCGTGTGATTACAATTTACGTTTCTAAAAATAAAATATACTGTTTTACTGACGAATGAAAAAACGATAAAATTGTTTCTGTAATTTTTTTTAATAAATATGATGCAAAAAGAAATTTTGGGAAAAATTCTTTGTTTTGTACCTGTTGTGATGTGAATATTTATAAAATGAAATAAATTTAATATTAACTTCAGGTTAAATACAAGAGAATTTAGTGAGAAGGTACCGGTATTGAATTCTGTCTTAATTCTAAACTTCTCTCTCTCTCTCTGAGATAGAGTGTGTGAGGGAGGGTAGGGAGGGTGTTTGTGTGTGTGTGTTTGTCACTTTCTAAACAAAACATGATCTTGGAGTTTGATTTGTTTTGACTTGCATACTGTTTAAATTATAATTTAAAAAATCAATTATGCCTTATATTAGATATACATGAGGTAACATGAAGAAAAAACAACAACAAAAAAAAAAATACTGCAATATTCAATGAAAATGAATCTTTTGTGTGGAAATCTCATGTGCATTCGGAACGTGATACTTCAAGTATTTTTTATTTTGTACATTCTCAAGAGTTTTTTGTCTTTAAGGAGAAAAACTGTTGTAAAAATATCTGTTAAAATAATGAAAAAAACCTTTAAAAACTTACTACTAAAATATTTTTTGCTTGAATTTGTTTTGAAGATATTAACATTCATCAAAACCTTATTTAAAGAAAACTAAATAAATAATATCTGCTTTTTACTTTTAGACATTTATGTAAAAAAAAATCTAACCAAAAACATAAGAAAGGTTTCTTATACCGGGGTATATGTTACTTTTTTATGTTTTTGGATAAGATGTCAAATATTGATGACAATGCTGATGCTGAATATAGAACAAACTAATTAAATTAAATTGGAGAACATTTCAATGACGTAATTCCCTTGAACTTTCTCTTGATTTTAATTGTTTCTTTGTGTTTTCTTTTCAGTCAGTATTTAATAACCAAGGTTAGATGAGGGTATGAAAACACCAAAAAACGTGTTTCAGCAAACACTTAAATATCAATAAAGAAAAGTTCAGAGAATAAATGTATCAGTCGATGATAATTAGAGGAAATGAAACTTTAAATAAATAAAGTTTTCAGCGGGTATTAAAAAAGTAAATATTCTTTTTAAAATTAATTTGTTTATATTCAATAATAATCGTCAAAAGAAAAATGTAAAAAGCTACATTGTCAATAGATGATACGTCTGTAACATGGGCATATTTTCTCACACAGTCACATAATAAGTATTATAAACACTCTTACTGTCACGTATCCAACTACTTCTTTTAATTATGAAAAGGCAGATCGAAGAAGTGACGTTTGTTAGAAAAGATTTTGTCTTCAAAGGACAAATGCAGTACAGCAGTATTACATAGGTGATGAAATAATTTCTCCTGGAAGGATATTCTGTCTGAAAGTATGCGTTGATGACGAATCTTGTATTAGCATTTGAAATTTGTCAGTTCGTCACTCCTGGAAAATGCAGACGTTCTTATGGAAACGAATTAACACAGTGCCCATGAAAAGTTTTTTCTTACACATTATTAAATAACTGTACTACACTGCAATACGTTTTCATTTATTTTCAGACTGATCACATAGAAAATCATACCTGTGATGGACTTTTAATCATAGTGATATGTCTTGAACATAATGCTGAGATAAATAAAGCACTTCTGTTTAGAGAATGGTAATTGGAACATTTTTGAGCAAATCAATTAAGTTCGTCACTATAATGAAATTGTTTTTATATACATGTACGTGTTCTTATGCTTTTGCTATCAACGATAGCATTTTTATAATATACACTTATTCACTGGTTGCGAGTGGATAAGCGTTTTATTATACTGATGTATAATATAATTGCTGAAGTTTGAATTTTTTTGGAGTTAGATAATACTGCAAGAATAATCTGAAATCCTTATGACGTCACAGTGCTACTGAAATCATTACGACATCATCAGTCAATAGATTTATTGCTGGAAATCAAAATTGGAGGCAAAAATTGCATGAAAATTTTCCAAGGGTGGATAGCAAAAACTATACCCCGGGGTATAGCTTTGCTATGCTATGAACTATAAAAGATAGTTATTTTACCATCTTAACTTTATATAGGAAACATTTTAACAGAAGTATAATAATAAAATATATGCAGATAACGAACAGTACTCAAGCTCAAAAGTCAATTACATACCGCAGTAATACAAATCAGGAACAACAGAGGAAACATGTACCTCCAAAACGGGGGGATCAGGTGCCATTATGAGTTTTGCATATATGATTGTTCGGTCTGACTGCTACTGTTTCTCGGTATATAGCTGATGTGCATGGAATTAAAGAGTATACTAAATACACCTGCATGCTGATGACGTCATAATGGAGTGTGTATTGAAAGGAACATAAAATACAGAGTAAAATCGCTAATTAATAAATTACTTTTAATATTACAACCATTGCTTTTTTATGTAGAAATAGAAGGTATTTCATTAAGATAAAGATCTACATCCCCTTAGGTACTCATGTTAATAAAATCTGAAACATTTAGACCTGAAATGACCACAGTCGTTCGAATATTTTCGTGTATATAGACGATCCGACGATTTTATATCGGATGAAAATTACCTCTTTTGGTTGATTTCGAGGTTTTTTTTATACCGAACGCTAAGACAGTGTTTAAAGTGACAGAAATTTGTGCCGACAATTTTATGTACTTATATAATTTATGTTTTTCCCTCTCCTTTTTACTTAGGAAGTCTACCTCTGTGCATTCATTTCCTATCTTTACAACAGCATAAAAATCCGTTTGCTTTGAGGCATCAGAAAGATTTTGCTTTTTGCCATTTACATATAGCTTAGTTATGTTCCCCAAACGAAGTTGGGGAACATATTGTTTTTACTCTGTTTCTTATTATTAAGTCTTCCGTTCACAACGGAAGACTTATAGTGATTGTATTGTTTCTTTTTATTATTATTATTATTCCTCCCAAATTTTGTGAGCGCGATTACTCAGAGATGGTTAGATAGATTTTCACAATTTTTCACATGTTAGTAGGTTGATATATGAAGTTTATATAAAATTCCGTTTTTTGAAAAATTTACTTCCGGTCCGAAGTTATGGCCGATTTTCTAAATTTTAAATGGACTTTTGTCCGGAATTTTTCTCGTGTGTTTCTGATACTTCCTGTCCGCATCGGAAGTGAATTTGTATTTCGGTCAATTTTCGACTTTTTTGTTTTTAATAATTATTTCAAGATATTTCTAGGCATAATAGAGATAGGTCCACAATAGCCAAATATATGATTTGTTTTGAAATCAGATCACGCGTTTTTTAGATTTCAGCTACTTTCGTTTTGCATTTATAAAATCAAAGTACTGAAAGTACTAAAGGGGCATTTCTTACTTTAAATTACATGAAGGTTATGTTTACATGTTTTTCTGCATACAAAAATCAAAACATACAAACTCATTTATATTAGGATTAAGAAAACATAATTGCAATGAAAATCAAAGTACCTTAAGTACTGAGAGGACTGTTTTAGATACCAACCTTTTTCTCACTAAAGTGTACATGTACATGTATGTAGTATAAACAAGCATTTTTTTCCTACACATAAACATCAATGCATACAATAAGTTACCTATGGAAGCTTATTTTTGTCAGTCAAAATAAATCATAGTACCGCAAGTACTGAAAGGATATTGACTATTTTATTTTACTTTGACATATATACATCTAAATCTTTATTTGAATGCAAAAAATTATTTCATATAAACACGTATTTTAATTTGTCATGTGTATATATCAAGGACGGTGAATACTTTCATTTTTGTAGTGAAAATCAAAGTACCGTAAGTTCTGAGACGCTGTCTTCTAGATACTTCGCATTTATTTTTTTAATTTGAAGAAAGTTTAAATATGCTTCTTAACCCAAAAAAAAATTGCATGCAGAAGGACAACAGATACATTCATTCTTGCAGTAAAAATCAAAGGACTGCAAGTACCGAAATGACATACTTCGTTTCTTACAATTTAAAATTTATTACATAATGTACATGTTTCTCTCCATACATAAATCAATGCAAACGGTATCATACAGGAACGGAAGACTTTTTTGTTGCCATAGCAACAAGAGTCTAGTTAAGGTCTTCCGTCTTCACGGAAGACCTTATAGTTATTCTACTGTTTCTTATTAAGGTCTTCCGTTTCCAACGGAAGACCTTCTACTGATTCGTTTGTTTCTTTTCCACTATTATTATTATTATTATTTTTTTTCTTACCGATTTTGTGCAGGCGATTTCTCGAGAACGCCTCGACAGATCTTTATGAAACTTTCAGCAATGATGGCAAATCATATGAACTTAGGGCGTTTTTTTTTATTTTTCCGTCGTCACTTCCGGTCGCGAGATACGGCCAATTTTCTTTTTTTAAAATGTCATTTTGTCCGGAAGTGTTCTCAAAAACGGTTTGAGATTGAGTCTTGAAACTTTCAGGGATGATAGATTGTGACAGGCTCTCTTGAATTTTGTATAAAGTTTTTGTTGCCGTCACGTCCGTTGTCCACCGGAAGTAGTTTAAAAATATGCAAAATTTTATTTTTTTCTTTTTTAAATGTTTCTTATGGAGGCAAATAGAGTGTCTCGAGTAATATTATGTCCACCGGAAGTTATTTTTTCCAAACCGGAAGTAGTCCAAAAAATGAGCATTTTTCATCGAAATTATCAGGGATGATTCCTTAACACTCAGAGAGGAGTTATAGGTCATTTCAAGTACTTCCGGTCACACCGGAAGTGAATTATAAAGACCGGAAGTTGTCTGAAATTTACAGATTTCACTCTTAAATGTGTTCTCACGTATATTGAGAATTGATATGAACATTCTTTTCATTTAAAGTTGTTTAATGATCGTATCAAGAATCGAACGGAAGACCTACTCGTTGCTCGCAACGAGATCTCCTCTAGTTAAGGTCTTCCGTCTTCACGGAAGACCTTATAGT